ATGGTGTGCTGGAGGAGGTGAGTTTGGATCCCGACTGTGTATCATGTGGTAGATTAGGGTGTATAAGGTTGCTATGCTCACCATGCGAGGGTAATTGGAACCATAATGCACCGGCATGTTGCGTCCCCTGCCGTTGTCATGGCAGTTTGCGAAAAGCTGACTCATGAAATCCTTCAAAGTGAAACCCCGTTGCTGGAAGACGCCTGTCTCGCGATACTGTGCGAATACCACGTCGTCGGGTGTTAATGCGGCGGCCGATCCGACACTTATACCTTCCTCTCCGGCAGACACCTTTGTAGGGGAAGCATTAGTTCGGTGTGTTTTTCAATTGGACTGAACTCTGGAGCTACATACCATGTAGAAGCTCAGGCGGCCCTGTCTTTGAGCCTCGAACATAATCACATCCATCACACTCACTAAGAGGTGTCAATAATAATTCATGGTGCAAGCAGAGGCTAAGAGAACCCACCAGTCAACATATTCTTGTACCATGTTAAGATTTCTTCGTTTGATACTCCGGAGGGCTTCCGGTTCTTGTCCAGCAATACACCGTCGGAATCCATGACACGGTATGTAGGGATATTGGTCATTTCAGAGGGATTGATGAATGTCATGTCGGTGGTGAATTTACTGTTCACGGCACCAGGAAATCGGACACTGGAAGCATCTATACATCAGCTATGACTGCCCTTTGTACACAATTCCCTGGGTTTACGAAGAGGGGGATATGTTTATCAGCTTCACCTACCGGTCCGAGCCTGGCCGCTGAGAGATAGAACTACTCCATCGTTGAGGAATCCTGGACAAAGCCCTGGGATTGCGAGATATGCGCCTCAAAAGATGTGCCGACATTGTGAGAATGGTCTGAGAAGGCAATCGTCGAGGAAACCTCAGTTGAAGAGGGATATGGGGTATTTCCTGGGGTCGTTGATCTTAAGGCTTCTTTCTGGGGAATGCGGAGGAAGCGGTTGGCTTCGGCCCTGGACGTCATGCCGAACCGTGTTTAGCCGATCGGTTTCTTTTCTTTGATCCTGTTTGTTCATTTTGTTTTGTTTGTCCTGGATCTGATCACCTGATCTCATAGATGTTTACTTTGAATGACATTCAATCATTTATCTTTCTTGCTCCAGTCAATTCTTGCATGTTGAATTGCCTGGCTTTTGGCTTCAAGAGGATTATGGGTCTCATTTCTGAGAAGGGGACGGATATTCAACCGGACGACAATTATGAACTAGTTTCCATCGATTCCACCCCTACGATTGGTCTCGACTCCAATATATATCTATACTGGACTCCACTCCGGAGAACTCCTTGAACAGGTTGAACCGTTTCCGGACGGCTTCGGGGTTCTGTACCATTCAATTCCATCATCCGATCACCTCACCGGCAACGAGAAACTTGTTTGGATGCCTTGAGAAATGCAAGCCGGCCGGGAAGAAAAGAGACGTTTTTCTCCGACAGCGACCTCCAAGCATCCCTTGACCGCCGATCAGTTTCCCCGCCGCAAGTGAGGGACTCCGCAGCCTTCCTATCCGCATCTCATTGGAAGAGCTCCATGCAGCGATCGTGCTACTGTGGATACAAGCATTCTGTCCCCAACCCCCACTCATGATACTTTCCCTTTTTCAACACGGTTTGGCATCCGTCTACTCTATGCCGTGATCCGAATCGTGGGACGAGATATTGGGGTCCTTGCATGACGGCTGGTAGACAGCTAGTGACTGAAATGATACTTAGCGAACTATAAAACGGACCTGTTTCCCCTCAAATGGTCAATCCTTCTTAACTAGGATCCAAAGCAAACCTGGTAGCGACCCCGCAGTCTCGCAATGCGGTTCACAGCGAAGGCCGCGGCCCTGGTGGCATCCAGCATACCCACTGCACTGGGCCAGCATGTCCGGGATCTGAGTAATGAAAAGTGGACTCTCAGTAGCGAAAGCTTGAATCATACCGTACCCGGAAGTCTTCCATCCCATGCCCATTTGGACCTGCTGAACGCCGGTGTTATTGGTGAGTTACTTTATTTCACCTGAAATGCCATGCATACAACTAACATGCATCACAGATGACCCGTAAGTGATGGCGTAGTTTCGTCGGCAAAGGTTACCTCCGTTAACTGGACTGGCCCAGGTACCATGGACTCAATGATTTCAACCTTCGGTGGATTCCAGAGTCTAATTGGACCTACACCACTGATGGTATCAAGGATTTGTGAGTGAATACCTTGTTTACTTGGGCTTTCTGACCAATCTAATTTTCAATAGACTAAAGGACGCCGAGTCTACCTGGCTCGTTTTTGACGGACTGGACACTTTTGCGACAGTTGAGTTCTGCGGGAAATACGTCGCTTCAACGAATAACCAATACCGCCAATATTCTTTCGATGTCTCCCAGATCCTAGAGGGCTGCAACGAGGATCCCGTCTTGAAGATTAATTTTGGTAGTGCGCCAAATATCGTGAATGCAATTGCCAAGGACCCTAACTCACCAGGTTTGGGCCCTAAAAGTGTTTCTCTGCCCTTTGCACAGCACTAACCTGCTCCCCTAGTATGGCCCGATGGAATTCAGCAGACTTATGAATATCCGAACCGGTGGTTCATGCGTAAGGAACAGTCGGATTTTGGCTGGGACTGGGGTCCTGCATTTGCACCCGCTGGGCCTTGGAAGCCTGCTTATATCGTGCAACTACCAAAGGCGCAAAATATCCACGTCTTGAATACAGACTTAGACATCTATCGGAAAGGACAGATCAACCATCTTCCTCCCGACCAAAGCCAGCCATGGGTCGTGAATGCCAGCATTGACTTTGTTGGCTCTCTTCCCCCTAATCCATCTATGTCTATTGAATTCAAAGACACCAAGTCCGGTGAGATCCTCACATCAAAGCGGATAGGCAATGTGACTGTGTCTGGAAATTCTGTTACCGGTGTTGCAGTCCTTGGTGGAGTGACTCCGAAGCTCTGGTGGCCACTGGGTCTTGGTGACCAAAATCTCTATAACATAACTGTCACTGTTACTGGTCACCAGAATCAAACCTTGGCCCATGTCACCAAGAGAACAGGATTTCGCACGATTTTCCTCAATCAACGAAACATCACAGATGCCCAGCTTGCTCAAGGCATTGCCCCGGGTGCCAACTGGCATTTCGAAGTCAATGGACATGAATTCTACGCCAAAGGCTCCAACATCATCCCTCCAGATGCTTTTTGGCCACGGGTTACAGAGGCGAGAATGGCCCGATTGTTCGATGCGGTTGTTGCTGGAAACCAGAATATGCTGCGTGTTTGGTCATCTGGCATATATCTCCACGATTTCATCTACGATCTAGCTGATGAACGAGGCATTCTTTTATGGAGCGAGTTTGAATTTAGCGACGCCTTGTATCCGGTCGATGATGCGTTCTTGGAGAACGTCGCCGCTGAAGTTGTGTACAACGTTCGTCGTGTCAACCACCACCCTTCGCTGGCATTATGGGCAGGTGGAAACGAGATTGAGTCACTCATGCTTCCAACGGTCGAAAGCAAGGCTCCCGAGGAACACGCGAAGTATGTTGGGGAATATGAAAAGCTGTATATCAGTCTCATTCTGCCTTTGGTTTACCAAAATACTCGATCCATCACCTACAGTCCTAGTAGCACAACGGAAGGCTATCTCGACGTCGATTTGTCTGCTTCCGTGCCCATGGTGGAACGGTATCACAATACCACACCTGGATCCTACTACGGCGACACCGACTTCTACAACTATGACAGCAGTGTCTCCTTCAACTCGCATGTCTACCCAGTAGGTCGCTTCGCCAATGAATTCGGATACCACAGCATGCCTAGCCTGCAAACCTGGCAGCAGGCCGTTGACCCCGAAGACCTCCATTTCAACAGCACCACGGTTATGCTTCGCAACCATCACTACCCAGCCGGCGGTACCTTTACCGACAACTTCCACAACACATCCCTAGGTATGGGTGAAATGACAATTGCAGTGCAGCGGTACTACCCCATTCCCAACAAGCTAGACTCGATCGCCAACTTCAGCGCCTGGTGCCACGCAACCCAACTCTTCCAAGCCGACATGTACAAATCCGAAATCCAGTTTTATCGCCGTGGAAGCGGAATGCCCGAGCGACAACTCGGCTCTCTCTACTGGCAATTGGAAGATATATGGCAAGCACCATCATGGGCCGGCATTGAATACGGCGGACGATGGAAGGTCCTCCACTACGTCTCCAGAGACATCTACCAACCCGTCATCGTCTCCCCATTCTGGAACTACACCACAGGTGACCTGGACCTCTACGTGACGTCAGATCTGTGGGAATCAGCAAAGGGCAAAGTAAACCTAACCTGGCTGGACTTGTCAGGCAAGCCTCTCCCCCGCAATGCGGGCACACCGGGGTCTATTCCCTTCACCGTCGGAGCGCTCAACACCACCAAGATATATGGTACCAACATAAAGAATCTTACCCTCTCCAATCCGAAGGATGCCATACTTGTCCTCTCCCTGTCGGGCGAGGGACATCTCCCTAACTCGGACGAGAAAACAACATTCACCCACCAAAACCACTTCACACCAGTCTTCCCCAAGGATCTCGCCTTGATGGATCCCGGACTTGAACTATCGTATGATTCCAAGTCGAAGGCTTTCACGGTAGAAGCTAAATCGGGTGTCTCGCTATACACTTGGCTCGACTATCCGGCTGATGTGGTGGGGTATTTTGATGAGAATGCTTTCGTGTTGCTTCCTGGACAGAAGAAGGAAATTGGGTTTACGGTTCAGGAGGATAATACCGATGGGAAGTGGGTGCAGGGGGTTACGGTGCAGAGTCTGTGGAATCAGACGCTTGAGAAGTAGTATGAACTACTAGCAGCTTAGGCATGTAGCCACTAATTTCAGGATAAGATAATAGGAGGGGCATACGTTCAATCACTTGTGAATACTGTGAATAACATTTCGTTGAAACCATGTGTAGACTTGGCAGATACCATCATGGTTGGTGTGCTTCACTATTTATTATCGAAGGCCGTTCCGTCCAGATAGTTAAGCAACTCCTTCGCCGGTGGTAGATGGTCGCATCCAGCCCCAAGAAGTATGCCCTTCCGGAGAACCTTCCGATAGTTCTTTCCGGGTGACACTATACCGAAGACATATTCCTGACATGTTTCAACGCGCGTCGGGACAGGAATAGAACGTCCAACAATTGCCTCCATGCATTGCCATGGGAAAGCAATAGCATCCTTAGCGGCAGCCGGGATACCGGTCTCATCCAGCAACACAATCTTGGTGTTGGGGTAATGTTCCGGAATGTAAGATGTGATGTTAGGGTTATAAGCACCGCCGCCACACATGAATATCTCGGCGATCTCCAGGCGCTTAGGTGCATATCGCTTGTAATGGTCGACGATCGCTTGAGCTGTGATGCGAGTAATGGTAGCCACAACGTCGTCTGAGGAAAGAGCTTTTCTCTCAGCCTTTTCGATTAATTCGAAGGCTAATGTATCGCGGAAGACTTCCCGGCCGGTGGTTTTGGGGGGGGGTCGAGGCGGAAGTACTTATGTTGCAGAAATTCGTCGACAAGGGCCTGGTCGACTTTGCCACGCGCACCCATCTCGCCATCTTTATAATATTCGCGTTCGCCGTTGGTATAATACCGGGCTACTGCGTCTATAAACACGTTACCGGGGCCTGTATCGGAATCGTAGCACTGAACCACCCGGCCTTCGATATCGGGCGGGATGAAGCAAACGTTGGCAATGCCAACAATGTTCTGACACGCGCGAAGCTTAGTAGGATGGTGTAGAAGAAGGGCATCAAAGAATGCAATCAGCGGGGCGCCTTGACGGCCTGCAGCCTGGTCACTGACTCGAAAGTCCGTAACGGTGGTAATGCCTGTGCGAGCGGCGAGAAATGAGCCCTCGGCCATGGTAAGGGCGCTTTTGGTCTCGCCTAAGATGACATTCATTTCTGATAATTCCGACGGAGATGTCTTATTATGGAGGATCATGTGCATCACTCACTTCTTCACGGTAGGCTCGAGTGGAATCTCCCCATACTAGTGCCACACTGTGAGTTCTTATCCATAACGGCGAGGTTTGCTTCTGCTACTTACTTTCAGGAGCTCAAAATGCACAAGAGATTCCGGGTCTTCCTGACGGAATGGCATAGAGCGTAGTCAATACCATCCTATCGGCAGGAGTATGAGCATGAGTGATATAAAACTCGTTATTATTTTCCCTCTCCCGCTGTAATTACCATGGACGCGCGACTGTTTAGCCCAATGACCGTCAGGTCCAACGCATAACTCGGAGTGCCCATGATGTTGCCCTCTACTGGTGTCTGGAATGTTTGATTAGCGGTTTTAAGCTATTGCCCTGGAAGCACAACAGCTTTGAAATAAACAAGCGAGCACGATGATCAATCACCAACTTCCCTGCTATGTGCGGAGCCGAAGATCAGTTCATGCTGCATGGTTAGTTTAGTATGACCAATCCCGTAAAGGTTTGCATAGGATCTGCGAGAAAGCTGCAGGGAGCCACCGCGGCTGAGCGATACAAGGGATGAACTCCGAGGTGTTATGGCACGAGCTCACCACAAGTTTTGAGCGTATGAACTGGTCTTGCGCTTGGTCAAGCGAAGAGTGTTAAACGCTATTAGTTGCGAATATACGTTTCCAGGGGTTTGATTGGATTGGTTTGCTTTACCCTGCTACTCCTTCATGGATTGTTTAAAGGGTCACCGGGCATCTCACAATGGGCTACACAACACTCTGGCGACAACTCTCACCGCGTCAGATTAATCTTGCAATCCAAACGTTTTCCCTCATTTCTATATTCTTCGAAGGCTATGACCAGGGTGTAATGGGAGGTGTAAACGCCTCGCCGACTTACGTGACAGAAGTCGGGATAGGAAGGCCCGACGGCACCGTGACTGACACTACGCATCAAGGAGGCCTGGTCAGTATATACTACCTAGGATGTATCTTTGGCTGCTTTGCCGGTGGATGGCTCGCCGATTGCATTGGTCGTATCAATGGCCTGCTGTTCGGGTCAGTCTTTGCCCTCATTGGAGGTGCTCTACAAGCCTCCATTCAAAGCTCGGGCTTCATGTTAGTTGCTCGCGTGGTGACTGGAATTGGTACGGGGGGTAAGTCAATGGCATTACCTGTATCAAGGAGTTGGTGTAATCTGACCCTTTCATTTTAGCATTGACTGGAATCACCCCAGTGTTAGTGTCAGAAATTTCTTCGGCTGAACACCGTGGTGGATATCTTGGCTATGTTTTTATTGCGAATTGTGAGTACAGCAACATGCCGATGGTCTCCCTGGAAATTCATCCATTGATAGTCGTTAGATCTGGGTATCTCTGTTGCCTACTGGCTGTCTTTTGGTCTCTCTTTCATCAATGACGGTTACTCGGACTTCAGGTGGCGCTTCCTACTAGCATTTCAATGCATCCCGGCACTTACCCTTACTATCTGCATCAAAGCATTGCCAGACAGCCCACGGTACCTTGCCTCGGTCGGACGAAATGACGAGGCTCGCGACCTGTTGAACTGTATTCGGCGACATATAGCTAGCCAGAAGGAGATCGACCGGGAATATCATGAGATTGTGGCTACAGCACGAGATAGTAGACCGAGTTCCCCAATTCAATTCGCCATGATCCTTTGCGGCAAAGGTGGCAGACCAGGTGCGAATTTGGGTCGCCGTGCCTGGCTTAGCTTATTCCTCCAGATCATGGCCTCTTGGACTGGCATCACAGTGAGTTATGCTTCTTGTATAATCGTGATAGTTTGTTCCAGGGTATTGACATCGTAGGCTGTCACGGCGTATTCGCCCGTGCTTCTCAGCCAGGCCGGGTATAGTAAAATCAAACAGAATGGGTTAGCTGGTGGCTTGAATACGATCGGCATCATCGGGACCATTATCAGTGCGCAAATCGTCGATCGCCTTGGTCGACGCAGGTGCCTCATGCTTGGCTCTGCAATGCTTTTCACTGTTGAAATAATTGTAGGTAGTCTCCTTGTTATCGATGTATCCTCCGAGAGCTCCCTGGCTAATACTCTCTAGGCTGGATCGCTATACGAAGGTTCTCTTCATCACCCAGACAAAGCAATCCAATATGCGCCAGGGGCTGTCGCGATGCTCTTCCTTTTCAACTTGGGGTAAGTGCGCCACATCTTCAAGTGTCACATAGCTTGTTTGGCTAACAGGCAGATAACAGTTATGCAGCAACTTGGGGCACAGTAGCTTTCCTCATACCCACGGAGATTTTCCCTTCCGACCTGCGAGCCCAAGGAAACGGCTTCGGTATAACGGGTTGGGCGATTGGCGTTGGAATGACCACTCTCGTCAACCCTATCATGTTCGACAGCATCAAGAGTCAGAGCTACTTTCTCCTTGCTGGCTTAAATCTTCTCTGGATTCCCATAGTATATCTTTTTTATCCAGAAACTTGCAATCGATCGCTAGAGTCAATCGAAGCCCTGTTTTCCACACCTGACCCATTCTACTGGGACATGGAGCGGGCATACTGCTTGCATGGCGATGTGGTCGTCGAACGGGGGGTTAATGACGAAAATACTAACAGGGTGAAAGGTTGTCAGGGTCTTCCTCGTGGGGACCAGCAGGATACTTGGGCGTGTTGAAGGAAAGTGTATAATAAAGTATGTGGCATGTAAGGAAAGAACTCCGGGTATTAGTAGTGAGGTGGAAGAAGGATAGGGAAGAACTGGCCAGAAAGGGAAACTAGTCATGTGGTCCACATAGTCTAATAATAGTCTGAATGCCTGGAGCTTTCTTGGACTCATCAGGTGCCTGCCTTTTCATGTTTTTCGATATCTTCAATGCTGAGTATGGCCTGAACCTGCAACAATCGCGAAAATCCACTGTCGATGCCGAGTCCAATAGGCAGATGTTCCATTCAACCCACCCCAAGAATGAATAGTTGTGTACCCGTTCAATGAGGGTGCATGAGATGTGCATGGTTGGCTTTAGACAAGAACTTATTACCCAAGGACTACACACCTCGGCCTGAGGCATTACTGGTATCCATCATACTATATACTAGTATCAATGCTCGCAAGACGATAGTACACGTAGTAAGTACAAGAGGTATATACAAGCTTCAGAGCCGTACACCGAAATGATCGTAAAATAGAGATATAGATTACTAAACGCTCTGATGACGCCCTAATTCATAAATTCATAAAGAATGGGTCGCTCTTTCCAGAAATCCCCACTCTGATCCACTACCAATACCAATATACCGAGCCCCCAGCTGTTCTAGATACTGCCTGTCCAGCATATTTCTCCCATCAAAAATAAACCTGGGTGAACGCATATGATTCATAATCCATTCCCAATCTAGTCTCCTCCCTTTATCGCCTGGTGTACTTGGTGGGGACTGGGGCTCCTCGATTCTGGTATCCTTGGCCGTGGTCATCCGCACATCCCCTGTCGGGATCGGGGTCTGAAACTCGTCCCATTCGGTGGCAATAACTACGGCATCGACGCCATTGCATGCTTCGTACGCCGATGGACACACTTGGACAGATGCGGAATGGCTACCGGCTGCACTCACATCTATCAGGATGCGATCCGGCGGAACCATGGGGTCATAAATGGAGACGAGGGCGCCTTCTTGGAGCAAGTTTCGCACAAGAGGAATGGCAGCAGAATTCTTCGTGTCCGATGTATTCTTCTTGAAGGCAAACCCTAAGATCGCGACGGACTTTCCCCCGACACTTCCATGCATAGATGAGACAATGCGCATAAAGAATCGCGACTTCTGGTACTCGTTCATTTCTATAACGGAAGCCCAATAAGTTGCCACGGGAGTGAGACCTAGACTGCGAGCCAGGTAGACGAGACATAAGATATCTTTCTCAAAACATCCGCCTCCCCATCCGAGGGTGCTCTTCAACATCCCCTTTCCGATGCGAGGATCCATTGCGCAACTAGCACTCACGCTGTCAATATCTGCGCCGACCGCTTCACATATCGCGCTTAACGAGTTTATGCTACTTATTCTCTGCGCTAGCATTGCGTTGGCGGCTAGTTTGGATAGTTCGGATGACCAGCGGTCCATCATGATGATAAGTTCGGGTGATACCCATCGGGAGTATATCGCAGCCAGCTCTTCAGCTGCTTTGCGCGATGATGGCGTTTGTTGATGACCGATCAAAACCTTTGTCGGATAGAATAAATCTGTGATTGAGGTTCCTTCAGCAAGGAATTCAGGATTAGAAAGCACCTCGAACCGGCAGCCGTTCTTAGAGCAAGATTCGAGCTACGCCCACGGTGTCATTAATATTCACTTCAACATAGACAGAAAAGAAATGCCCATACCAAATCCCGAATCTTGTCTGCTGTTCCACACGGAACGGTTGACTTCTCCACGATAATTTTGTCCGACTCTGCGGCCTGCGCTATGGTCCTGACAGCGGCCTGCGTGTTGGCTAAATCCAATGCCATCCCTTTCCCAATGCCGCTTTCCTTAGTAGGGGTATCAATGCACAACATAATAAGCTCTGCCTCTCGGATGGCGCGATCGATGTCTGTCGAGAACCTAAGGTTGCACTGGGCCTCTCGCTGCCGAACGCGGGATAGAACATCTTCGAGGCCTGGTTCATATAGTGGAGGGGTCGCTGTATTCCAAGCTTCAATCCGCTCCTTGTTTTTGTCCACAACAGTTACCTGGATGTCCGGACATTGACAGGCAATAACCGTGGCCAGAGGACCCCCTCAGAACGTCAGATAGGACTTCATCACGCGCCCCTGGTGCATCCACTCACCCACGAATCCAGCACCTATACATGCCACATTTCGAATCATGACGGCGAAGTATCTGGGTCGGGCAGTGGTTTGGTTCTTGGTTGAACACCCAGGGGAGAAACTATCGCTCGCTTCATTCTAGCAGTGTTCCTGAGTTCTTCCATGTTCCGTCATATATGTGGGGAAATCGAGATTGTAGCTGAGCGTGAGGCCCACTCTTAAAAGACGGGTTGCCGAATGCGGCAAAGAACACACCATCCAAGGAACTTAAAAGGCCAACTACCGACACTTGTGGTTGGGATTTGCGTTTGAGATTTGTCATGCAGATTGTCAGCCCGCCACTGCGCACGCAGGGCCACACCGCAACACCATGACAGCCTGAGAATTACGACATCCGTCTCGATCGACATTGCTCAGCTCCACCATGTTGGCAGCTGAGGTTCAGCCTTCAGTCACACTAGGCTGTTCTTGGAGGGTAGCGGAGTGTTCCACCACCACTTCCAAAGATATCTTCATGCGCGACGAGATTAGGGCCTGTCGGGGCTGATCGGGTGGGTCAGCGCAGATGATGAACCACTACGAAATACTTAAGCATATCATTCGAAAGTGACCCATGTTCACTGGAGAATATATGCTGCTTTATATGATATATGATATGGCGAGTCACGACGGCAAGCTGAGAATCCTCATCACGGGGGTAAGGAAGCTCCTTGCGCGGCCATCTAAGAAAGGTCTGGGCTAATGCGGATAGGCTGCGGGGTTCCTCGGGTCCAACCTTGCAGATTACCTTCTTGCAAAGGGCCATGTAGTCATTGGAATGGATGGCTTTCAAACAGGTTCTCCCCGAAACCTCGAGCACCTCAGGAGCCATCCCGACTTTAAATTGGTCAAGTAAGATAGATACCACCAAACAAACGCCGGGTATCTTCGTATTGACTTTTACAGTCAAGATATCCAAATGCCCTTGGCGGATGTGGGCCAGATCGATCAGATTTACAACCTCGCATGCCCAGCCAGTCCGATCCAGTATCAAAAAGACCCGATCTCAACGCTAAGGACATGCTTCCAGGGTACACAAAACGTGCTCGACTTAGCTATATCGAAAAATGCCCGTGTCTTGCATACTAGCACATCAGGTAAGCTGAAACACCAATAGCCCCTGGCCTCGATTATACCTAATACATAAGTAGAAGTATATGGTGATCCCCTAGTTCACCCCCAACCTGAAACGTACTGGGGAAATGTCAACCCCTTCGGGAAGCGATCTTGCTACGATGAAGGGAAGAGGGTAGCAGAAGCATTGTGCTATGCTTACCGTGAACAACAACGCGCTGATATCCGTATCGCCCGTATTTTTAACACATATGGCCCTCGCATGAATGGCAGCGATGGTCGGGTCGTGTCAAACTTTATCGTTGCTGCATTGTCCGGTGACGACCTGAAGATCACCGGTGATGGATCTGCAACGCGGTCTTTCCAATATGTCACGGACTGTATGGAAGGACTCTATCGCCTAATGAACAGTGACTACCGTGAGGGCCCTGTCAATATAGGAAATGATGGGGAGTTTACTATCCAGCAGCTAGCAGAACGGATAGTTGGTCTCGTGGCCGAAATGACCAATCAGCCTAAGGTCAATATTACTTACCATCCACGCCCTGCGGATGATCCTGCTATTCGTCGGCCGCAGATCTCACTGGCCAAAGCTGTGTTGGACTGGTGCCCAACAGTCCCCTTGCGAGAAGGGTTGCGAAGAACGATTGAGTGGCATGTAAGCGAGCGAGTCGTATCCTAGCCTACCTATTTCACTGGGACATAGATATCGGATACACTCAATATGAAGTGGGTGTACCTATTTACCCCGGGTTTCCTACATACTACCTCAAAGGGTCTATCTTCGATACAACAACTTTGACCGGTAAATACTAGTAGCGGTGGATATTTGTATCCTGCTAGTATTACTGGCGTCGAACCTGAGCTTAATGTGAGCTCAAGAATATGATCAAGAAGGCCATACGTTACGAGTGTATCTCCTAGATGATACGCAGCCCATCGAAAGTAGATTAGTATTTAGTATAGAGACATGTACTGCTCCGGGAGTACTGTTTAAGAACATCATTAAATTAGCCCCACAGACAGACAATTGGTAGTCAGGCGACGATGAGCCGGTCACGGGCCACTGTCCTCCACTTATCTGTGCCGAACAGGACTACTAGTAGTGCACCATGGTGTCAGGAATAGGCTAGCGGTGAAGAGTCGGGCGGCAGAAAAAGCACAGTATCGGAGTTCTCATTTGGTATCCGCTCCGCGCAATATTTCTATCTCCGTTTTAACCTTCAACTAACCTCAATTACAGGTCTTGAATAGCTAACACTTCATGATGTTGTCGCGATCGGTCTGGAGGAATCTGGGCTATAATGCCCGTCGGAGAGCGACCATTCCCGAGGTCCCCTACCGCTGCTTTTCCTGTTCGCAGCGAGCTCAAGCAGACTCCAACAAGGCCAACCAAGATGAACGGATGACCCATTTCGGCTTTAGCAACGTTCCTGAATCGCAGAAGGAGTCTATGGGTATGTTTCTATATACCCTTCCAGCAAAGGATAGAAGACTAACCAACCAACGCCGGTAATGTACAGTCGGAGCGGTCTTCAGCTCAGTTGCTTCTTCCTACGATGCTATGAACGATTTCATGTCACTCGGAATCCACCGCCTGTGGAAAGATCATTTTGTTCGCTCCCTGAACCCTGGCTCGGCGCTACCATCTCGCAACACCGACACAACAGGAAAAGGCTGGAACATCCTGGATATCGCCGGCGGGACCGGCGATATCGCGTTTCGCATGCTGGATCACGCGACTAACATTAACCACGACCATGAGACCCGTGTCACAATTGCTGATATCAATCCGGATATGCTTGCGGAGGGCAAAAAGCGGAGCATCCAGACCCCTTACTACAACACGAACCGTCTATCTTTTATGCAGGGAAATGCCCAGCACATGCCCAACATTCCGGATAACTCAGTCGACCTCTACACGGTTGTCTTCGGCATCCGCAACTTCACGGACAAGCAGGCCGCCCTCAACGAAGCATTCCGGGTGTTGAAGCCCGGTGGTGTGTTCGCTTGTATGGAGTTCAGCAAGGTAGAGAACAGCGTATTCAATGCGGTCTACAAACAGTGGAGTTTCAGTGCCATCCCGATGATCGGCCAATTGGTGGCGGGAGATCGGGAGAGCTACCAGTATCTAGTGGAGAGTATTGAGAAATTCCCCAGCCAGGAAGAATTCCGGGGTATGATTCAGAAGGCTGGTTTCATGATCCCTGGCCGGGGATTCGAGAATCTCACCGGGGGGATTGCGGCTATTCACAAGGGGATTAAGCCTCTTTCCAAGGCTTGAAAGTTACATGATGGGTGAAAAGACGATGGGAAAAAATATTTGTATAGTACTAATCTCCTAGATGACAATGTAACAGTAACAATCAACCATTTTGTACCAGTACGGGATCTGCAAAAGCGTCAGCGATGGTGGCGATGGTGTCATGACGGATGTTATTGGAGCCGAGACGCGGAAGGCGCATTTTAGTAATGGAGGGGATTGTTTCTTCTTTCGTCGGGAGTGTAAGGAGAATGATGGAAAGCGTTAGCGTGCAGTTGAATCAAAGGAAGTCCGAAGTGTTACTTTACTTGCTACTCACTAGTAATATCTCCGATGTAGTGCAGCCAGTGGTTAATTAGTCAAAACTTCATGCCGAGACCAATTCTCCTCCACTTCCCTTACTATTCCTCTCCCCCCCCCATCGAAAATTTTCTAATTCCTTCGCTTCCCTGGGATTTCGTCCGGGGACCTCTTTTCCCAGGCCCCTCCTGGGAGAAGACGATTTGTCCTTCTTAATTTCCCAAGGAGAATGGTTTCTGTGCCATGGGGCACCTTCAGCAGCAATCGCCGATGATCCCGCTATCGTCCCCCGCGGACCCCTCCGTGCCCACCATGATAAAGAAAGACCGCCTCGCTCGCGACGAGCTTTCGCTTCTATCCTTGACTCCTCCAGACGTGATTGATCCTATATTATCAACTGCAAAGGATGGCCCTACCGATGCGTCGGTATCCACCGCCATTCATGTCATTGCTACTGAGCGTGCCGCCCTAGCGCACTTGGAACGTCTTTACGAAACAAATGCGTTGGCGCAAGAGAGTCTTGCACGGGCTGTAAGCCAGATTACCCACAGTGTGCGGAGTGGAGGAAAATTGGTATGCTGTGGTGTCGGAAAGAGTGGGAAGATTGCCCAAAAGCTCGAAGCGACGATGAATAGTCTGGGTATCTACAGCGCATTCTTACATCCTACGGAAGCATTGCATGGAGACCTGGGCATGATTAGACCGGTGAGTGTTGAACTATACTTGTGAGCCAGATGAACAAGCGTATTGATACTTGTATACAGCAAGATACCCTGTTGTTGATTTCGTTCTCGGGGCGCACGCCTGAGCTCTTGCTCCTGCTCCCTCATATCCCCGCAACTGTCCCAATAATCGCCATCACTGCTCATCTTCACCCGTCCACATGCCCCTTATTGTCGTTTCAACCGTCCGACATGGGCATTCTCCTACCAGCGCCCATTCACGAGGACGAGGAGTTATCCATCGGCGTATCTGCCCCAACGTCGTCTACGACGGTAGCCCTGTCGCTGGGAGATGCCCTGGCTATCGCCACCGCCAGACGACTACACACATCTTCAGGAAGAGGCCCAGCAGAGATCTTCAAGAGTTTCCACCCCGGGGGAGCCATCGGCGCCGCATCAAATGTCCTCACACCAATGAGCATGTCGACTGCATCATTCCCCTCTACCACTTCAGACGACCTCTCCAGTCAACAGCAATCCGTCGCCTCGCTCCCCCAGTTAGAGGAGACCCCACGCATCATCGACAAGCTCGTTCCCATCGACCAAATCCCAACAGTATCTACCTCAACGGGCACCATCCGTCTCCTAGATATCCTGCTCACAGCCATCCAACACCCCACCGCCAAGTCCTGGGTCCATCTGTCCCCTTCCGAAATAATTCCACCCCGACATCTCCGCTCCCTCTCGCAAACAAACTATGTAGACATGGATACATCCGCGCTAGCCACTCTCGGGCTCCCATTTTCCGTGTCCCGGGATGATTGGCTACGGCTCCCTAGCTTGACGTCCGTCAACGATGCACGTCGGCTAGTTTCGGAATCTACCACTACTGCGGGGTCCGTAATAGCCGTCATGCAGGACGAGAATCCCGATGCTTGTTTGGGCTTCTTTGAAGCGGAAGATCTGTGGGATGGCTGTGACTAATTCCTTACTATGCCTGTTTACACACTCTGGCGGTTCGGGTTTGCCTCCTCCAGCACATATATGTGTATGTGGTTTTGATGGGTCATGGGTCTTTGTCTGCTGTTATATGATGTTTATGAATAACGCCCTGCTTTGGATTGTTTGTTTATTCAGACTATAGATCTGGTCATCCTTTGCCCTTATTATAGATTTCTTTTGGTCTTGTTGCCGAAAATCATGCTGGTATATATCCTGCAATTTTATACATTGCGTCATCGCTATGCTTTCAGCCATATCTCGAAGACTATGCTATCGCCGTGTTCTGAGCAATTTACAAGTATATATTTATAAACTGTATAAATGTAATGGTGTCCATTTATTGTCAAGAACTAGATCTACCATGATCTATCAAGGATTTATCAGTACAGGAGTCGTGTCAGGGGTATAAAGAAAAAACAAAAAAAAATAAAAATAAAAAAGAAACAAAGTAAAGGTAAAGAACAACCAATGAAGACATAAACTCTATGGTATGCTCAGCACATTATTCGTGTCACTTTCCCGAGAACAAAATCTGGATACAGCCAAAATTAACGGGAGCTTTTCGGTCCAAAACCGCAGCTATAGGAAGTGGGGGAAGTGATTCACTAGGCAAGGAGACCAGACACCGCAGGCATGTCCAACTTGGCCCCGCGACTAGAGAATGTCTGGCTAAGAGCGCCCTCAAGTATCCAAGGACTGCGGTGCAAGGGATAAGAGAGGTGGACAGTAGCACCTCTGGGCAATGTGACGGCACGGGTACGGGTCGCTCGTGGCTGCCATTGTAACCCCGGATTTGCTCATAGCACGCTAAGCTCGCAGTAGCTGTGCTCTGTCCCCGCATGATAGCAGAATGGGGCTGAATTGTACTCATATGCGTGGCTAACGGACTAACAAGATTGCAGGGTTTGAGGGTATCAACCCGACTTGCTAGGCTCCTGTTTCCCCTTGCCTTTGTCGGATGTGGAATTGGCTGTCGTGCTGTCATCCTCATATAGGCGGTGCTGTTCGATATAGCGGATGACCGGCACCGGGATTAGGTAGCGGACGCTCATCTCACGTCTAAGGAAAAGACGAATTTTGGTGCTACTGACGTCGTTCTGAATCAGCTGTTGAATCACATGGATATTGTCCTTCCAGGGCTGCAGGGCTGCAAGCGCTTCATCGATGTCTGTTCCGCTGCGTTCAACAATGAAAGACTAGAGGGCAACGTTAGCGGGGTCCAGGACTCCTGGAATGTAGGCATATTGTACATACACCGTATTTACCCAGAATGTGATCCAAATCCTTTTCACTCCATACTCCCGGGGTCGACATGGTATGGATCAGATCAGCTCCGGCCAGAAGAGCGATGCGCACGTGCTTCCGTGTGCCATCTGCGGCTTCAATTCCCTCTCGGACAGTGTTGATCTCGTGGTCAAAATGATCGAGCACGACAGCAGTTGGTTGGTATGCCTTCTGCATTGGCTCCCATGTATCAACCATTAACCAGTCGGAGGTTTGGTCCACTGCAAGTTGGCACATAGCAACTCTAAATCCGACACGTTCGGGTCAGCTTAGTGTTTCTTAGGGTATATAAATAAACCAGCGAAACAGAAAACAGAGTAGGATACGCCTGGGAAACTGATGGCGAGGAGAACGTTCTTACCGGTGATCTGCAGCGGCCAAACCAGCCTTGCGATAGGCATCCGACACCGGAGAAAGATAGCCGCCGATGAGTTCGAAGTTCGTGCTGAATTTGACGTAATCTGCTGCCATTTCGAACATACGCAAATGCAAGTAAGTGATAGGCGAGAAAGAACCACAAGCAACTAGTAGCAAGGGAGTCTTCTCCGGATCATCCATCTTGCGTTTCAGGCGGAGTTCGGGAAACTGGTAGTCCTCCATGGGTGCCGGGGGAATATGGGCGGGGGGCTGATGGACATCCTCCCCATGCCCACCAGTGATGTCAGTCATGGTTGCGGATCAAGTTAGAGATCTCAAAACGATAAACCTGGGGCTCTAATGGGTGTTCGTATGTAGCACAATATGGGAAGAGGTGGATAAGGAGTACCAAAGATTCGGAAGAGATGGAAAAGAAGAAGAAGGGGACTTTTGAATGGATGATGGAAGGCGACTGAACCAAAAGCCTTTCAGAAAATCATTTGCCGGTGGTTTAGTCAGACCCGCGCGGGGAAAGGAATTTATTACCGTATTGGTATGTATCCGGCGGGGGAAGCAAAGGAATTGAGGAACATCAACTTGAGGGGCAAATCAGAACCTCGGCGACTGATCACATCATTTCTCCAACTCTGTTCTGTACTGGTTTGGTATTAATCTGAAGTTGACTGAGTACCACCTAGGAGCTTACTGGTATGTATTTACCAATAAAGTGGCCCAGGCAGGATTAGGCAACTGTACGCACTCTGTCACCGAGAGTATCTGAATCTCTGGAATTAATAATAATAATAACTGGGGACTTCCGATTCTCTCACCGGGGACCGGTCTAGATTATACTACTACTACTACGCACTCCTAGAAGTTGTTCCTGATTTCCGTTCATTGCTTGAATTTCGCAATGGTTTCCAGAATTCTCCTTCAGTTAGTTGAGCACGTGGTGGATTTATCCACAATGTGCCAACTCAGCCTTGTCTATAGCGAACCCTATTTATTGGATGTAAGCTAAGGTATCGAGTGGGCAGAGGTACTGGGTATGCCGTCACACTTGCTGTTTACAAAATAACTCATTCCCACTACGGAGTATGTTGAGGGGATATCCAACATACTCCGCAGGTTCAGCCAGCCACTGTCGATCAATCATGGGTCCTCTAACCGAGCTGAATATTGCTCTGTCGCCGATCCGCTCTTGTCCCTGTAAAGTAACGCCATGTGAAACTATAAGCTGTATCCGAACGCTGTATCTTTCTTGTGCAGCTCTACTGAATAGAATGCTGCAACTATTATGAGGCATATTTGCTCGTTAGAATTAGCATATACTTCCTGTTGCTGTTGCCAACTGCATTCCTTATATGCTTAAGTGACAGACAGGATGTGCACAAGTCCTTAGCAAGTTCAGCAAATTTGTTTGCTTACTCGGCATGGTCAATGACATACTACAACTTTTCGGGCTTTGGGGAACCCGCCCATCCATGCCTGAGGCTTTATGAAAGTATACATGCATTTTTCATCCCGGTGCAGCGTGATCAGCCTGCGAATGACAAGACTGACACATCCTCTGCGGAGTCGCAGCCCTCCTGCAAAACCTTTCAGGACATTACTTCAGGTGTTTCGGTCCAAAAAAGACAGCTGACCTGACAGCAGCTTCAGGTTGTGTTTGGCTTTCGAGAAACCGGGTTAGCCCGAAGTTGATAGTTCGGGAAGACTACCGAAAAGTTTAGCTATTAGTTAGGACCCTCTGGTGAGGATGGACCAATCCTGATGAGAAATTGTCAATATTTAGTACGTGAAGGCCTGCTACTAATTCGTGATTTCAGCGTCCAGCTCCATATTGTAAAATTTGTCATCCTGAATCAACCTTGGGGACAGGGTAGTAGCTAGTACCTCCACAATGTGAGGGGTTGAATGTACATATATATAAGGGACATATACACGGTTGTCCAATTTACTCTAGATCATGCTTAGAAATACTAAATTCAAAGGGGATTGGAGACTGTACCAATGATATATCCTCCGATCCGTAGCTGGAGGGTTAAGTAAATCTATGTGTTAAGTAGGCTCAGTTCGTTCGGATAAGAGTATTTTACCATTTATGGATGGGCATGGCCTCCAGTGGATAATATTGGCAATATTCGGGACTGCAAGATCTGAGGGAATGGCATTGGTACAGTCTTCTAGCTAAGAAAATAGGTTCCCATAGGAATAGGGATGAGCTGTGGCACTGATTGGATGCAGATGAGGCATGTTGGTGTTGGATGTCCGTCTTAGGTTTGATCGAGTAGTGTCGATGTCACCCAGTGATAATAATGACTAAAAAATGATATACATGCATGACTAAATGAGTGTGGTACGGTTGGGTCCGAAAGGTTGTAGAATCGGAGTTTATTATTTTGAAATAAAAATTTCAAAAGGCATGTATAAGGGTAAAAAGCAAAAACCAATAAAGGAAAGGAAGATAGGAAGAAGTCCTTGTTGTGATACTTCTTATTGTGATATTTACTACTAGTAAGTACTAGTAGTAGTACTTATTGGTGGCTGATGGGGCTGCTGCACTATAGCCGCCTGACGCTCTCCGGAGTTGCTTCCTGAGGCCGGCGTCACCACTGCTTACCACTACCACGTCAACTCTCGAATCCTCCCCCCCCCCCAATTGATTCATCATTCCACTTTCCTTCTCCATCGCCACTACGACGTTCATGACCACTGCTTTTATCCCAGTTTTTGTCTGCTACTCATCACTAATTCATTCAGATACTTGCTTTCCTTTGACTTTACATATCTTTATTCCTTCTTCGTTCGCTTTTCTAGCTGTTGTCCCCTGACTTATCTTTCCATATCCTCTCCCCCAAAACGGACAACCGGAAAATACGCAGTGTCACCTTCCTGCCCACGCTCGGTCAACTACCTTCTGAGTAACGGATGGCGGGTTAAACGGTCGACAGACGAGCGAGCCCTCTTCGTCCAGCTCTGGTTAACATCAACTTATGGCCAGAACAAGGCCCAACCTTCACCGCCAGGACCCTCTTGAGGATTCATCCACTGGAGCCCCCGCCACTGCCGCCAGGTACATACCAGATCTACTTCCCTTTTCCTGCGCAGCTTGTTTCGCCCTGTGACGCTTTATATTCTGCCTCTTTCGTCGTCGTGGCCCAGCACAGCCTATGACTTTGGGATTTGCTAGAAAGCCCGAGGTCGAGCTCTGCATCCCAATCCTGCCTGCTAGCCTCCCCTAACACGCCGAGTCCATCGGTCATTGTGTGGAAAGGCTGCTTCTCTTTACATTAGTCCAACCTCTATTTCCCACCTATCTTGTCCTGTCCTTCCCATACCTACCCCTCACTTAATCTTTCATCTCCGCCGTGACTCGGGAGTGCTCAGCTTCTCATGTCCTCCAGGATTACTCGCTCAGCCGCGAGACTAGCTGCAGAACCCCCTCCGCCCGCCACCTCAGGTCCCTCTCCTGCGATTCCTGCCGCTGGTTCGGCCCCAAGTCGGAAGCGTAAAGCCCCCTCACGAAGCGATCGGTCTGTGGAAGCCCCCGGGCAGCCGAATCCTCCGTCTCCCCCACGGAGAACCAAGAAACAGCGGCGTGCAGCTTCTCCCCAACCGGCGGCCACCTCTGCTGCTCCCCGCCGTGGTACCCGAAATCGTCCAGCTATGTCCCAATCCGGGTGAGTCCGAGGTGCTTCGTGGCGATTCTCGCGGTTGTTGCTGATTGACGTGTTGCTTCTAGCCCATCCTCACATCCAACGGAGGAGCCTTCGAGGAATCAGCCGTCACCTCCGACATCCAGAAGAAAATCGAGCAGAAATGGGAAAGTGTCACAAGGTATGGTTACACGGACGATGCTCGAGGCCGTTGTCGCAACCCTATCACCCCCCACTGGCCAAGCGACCCAGTTAACACATTATTTCGTCAGATCGCTTTTCAACTGCCCAATCCCCTCCCCCTCGGCGCCAACAAAAGAAGCGTTCACCTAAAAACAATCCAGATGTCATCATGAAAGAAGCGGATGAGGACTTGGAAGGACGTGAACGGAGTGAGGAACGAGATTCGTCTCCACCAAGTGATAGCAACGATGGAACCAATCATTCGGGCCTTGATGATGACGATGGAGATCTGTTTCACAATAGCCTGTTTGGCTCACGCAGCCCCCTGGGGCTTCAGAGTACCCTACGTGCGCTGTCTGGGATGATGACGGGCATGTCATCCCGATTGCGAGAAATCCTGTGCAATCTCAGAGCGAAGGATGATCCATCCATCCAATTGATCGCTTTGCAGGAGCTTTCAGATCTCTTACTCGTATCTAATGAGGATAATCTTTCCGGTCAATTCTCCCCCGATCCCTACGTAAAGGAATTGGTCGCATTAATGCAGCCGAATGAATTCGGCGAAGAAAATCCCGAAATCATGCTCCTCGCATGTCGCTGCTTGGCGAACTTGATGGAGGCTCTTCGCGGCTCCGTAGCCAACGTTGTCTACGGGGGCGCTGTGCCGATTTTGTGCCAGAAGTTGCTGGATATACAGTTCATTGATCTGGCCGAACAAGCTTTGAGTGTAAGTTCGCCGCTAGACCTGTTAACTCGTCTTTCATGGCCTATGCTAAAAACTCCCAGACTTTGGCAAAAATTTCCGTAGACTTTCCTGCCTCTATTGTTCGGGAGGGGGGCTTGACTGCTTGTTTGACATATCTCGACTTCTTTCCGACTAGTACACAGCGTACGGCGGTGACTACGGCAGCAAATTGCTGCCGTAACCTTCCACACGATTCCTTTCCTGTGGTGCGGGATGTAATGCCCACACTTCTAAATGTGCTGTCCAGCAATGACCCAAAGGTGATGGAGCAAGGTTGTTTGTGTGTCTCCCGAATTGTGGAGAGTTTCAAACATAAGCCGGAGAAACTGGAAGAACTTATCGAACCCGCAATGTTGAAGGCGGTACTTCGTCTGCTGTTGCCAGGTACCACCAATCTAATTGGCCCGCACATTCACACCCAGTTCCTCCGCGTTCTAGCGATAGTGTCAAAAGCCAGCCCCAGGTTGTCTGTAGAATTATTGAAGATGAACGTGGTCGATACTTTATATCAAATCTTGACTGGGGTATCGCCGCCAGGAAACCTGGAAGATACCACCGTTAAGATGGATAGCGTGCTTGTGATGCAAGCCTTGATACACCGGCCTAGGGAGCAGGTCCTTGAAACGCTTAATGTGATTTGCGAGATGTTGCCTGGCGTTCCAGGCCGACGCGTACCACAAACCGACGGATGGCTTAACCCCCCCCTCGACAGCGACCCGTCCCTTGCCTTAAAGTCATCCAAGGCGAAAGAAGTAGCCGAAAAAAGACGCTCTCTATTACTAGAATGCCAAGGCGAGCTCAAGCGCTTTGCTATGATCCTGTTGCCAACCTTGACCGACGCTTACTCAAGCACTGTTAACCTAGAGGTCCGACAAAAGGTTCTCATCGCTCAGCTTAAGATGTTGCACCATTTAGACGCCGGTCTGGTGGAGGAAGCTCTACGGTCTGTGCCGTACGCCTCGTTCCTGGCGGCAATTTTATCTCAGAAAGACCATCCGTCGTTGGTCTCGTCAGCGTTGCGTTGCTCTGAACTTCTCTTCCAGCGCTTGGAACATGTGTACCAGTACCAATTCCATCGTGAAGGCGTTGTTTCGGAAATTTTCAAGCTGGCAGAGGGACCTTTGTCGGATGAGAAGCAGACCAAGCCTTCCTCTGATTCACCCGCTGCTATGGACACCTCGGCCGATTCACGTCGGGAAGCCGAAGACGTCGATGGCCCGGGAGACGACGATGCTCATGATGACGACTACGATGAGCAAGAGGATGAGCGGGATGAGAACGACGACGGGTCGGAATCGGATAGCTCTTCATTATCCGGCCAAGTGCTCTCTACAAGGGTAGACAATGCCATGAAGGACCTCGTTATCCGCGACGCTCGGACGTTTGTTGGTCTCTACGAAGCCGGCCATGGTAGAGATATGCGAGAGAAAGCTATAGAAGTCTTGACCGAATTACAAAATCTCGCCTCGAATATAGAAGCCTGTTATCGTGGAGACGCACGTGAGGACGGCCTTGCGCTTTTCGAAAAACTGGCCGCCTACTTCGACGGTGACGCACTCGAGAGTATTACCAGCTCAGAATTACTGAACTCGGGTATCATCAAGGTGCTGCTGGACGTGTTTGGTGACTTTAACCTTGCCTCTATGCGCAAGGCGCGTGCTGCTTTTCTACAGGCATTCATGGGATCTACTATCTCTGAGAAAGCCCAAAGCCAAAGCACTGCTACAACTCCATTCAGTGTCCTGATCCAGAAATTGCAGGACTTGCTCAGCCGGACTGAGCATTTCGAAGTGCTTACTGTCAGCCACAATTCTTTGGAAAATACACGGAGTAATGCTGCACATATGCTTGGAAAACAACTTAGGCTCAAGCTGGTGGCCGACGAAGACTCTGATATACCCCGTACCTATCGAAGTATAATGGTCTCAATCCACGCCATTGCCACGTTCAAAGCCTTGGATGACTTCCTTCATCCACGAATTAGTCTGTCAGATCGTCCAAAACCATCCCGCAGCCGAGAAACTTTATTCTCACAGATTGCTAATGCCGCCCGACTTCGGGATCAACTAACCGGCAATGGCGAGTTCACTGGCAGTGATATCCCACCTTTGCCGCGACAGAGCACGAACAACGACAGATCCTCGCATCCAGAAGACTCACAACCAAATGCCCAGGAGTCTTCGACCGAAGGTCAGGAGCGTAGTTCGAGACCCAGACGTTCTGGCCGACACCAGCAAACTTCAGAAGACTCTGCCCATGATGATGAGCCTTTGGAGTGCGCGGATGAGAGACAACTGAGTGAGGACGAAGAAGAAGATGATGATGATGGTGACGACGGAGAACTGAATGCTATTATGGATGATCTAGACGATGACCTCTCTGAGGACAATGCTCCTGACCCGACGGCGGTGAACATGGAGGTAGCCTCCTCCGGTAAGGTAACTGCTCGGAAGGAAGATGGAACACGTGTGGCCACTCCGTCTCAATCCACCCCAGCATCTAAAGCATCGTCATCTGCCTCCAGTGTGGCCCAAAATCCCACCGGAAACAACTCTCTTGCCACGGCTGGTCGTCCTTTCTCTTCCTACGCCGCTGCAATGGCTTCTATCCCTTCAGACTGGCACCTGGAATTTAGCGTGGATGGCAATCCAATTACCGGTGACACAACAATATACCGTGCTGTTCATCACAACAGGCAGGATTCGGATTCTATCGGAAGGCACGTGTGGTCTGCTGTCCATACCGTCAAATTCAGGCGCGTTCCGGGGCCACCTCCTCCAGAGCCTACTGCCCTCACATCTAGTACATCAGAGTCTGCTGCGAAGAACGCTAGCACCGAGATGCCACCTTCACTCAGCCAAGATACAACAAATGCGTCGATATTCCAGCTACTTCGCCTTCTACACGAAATGAATGCCACGCTTGATGATATACTCACCGAAAGCAAGGAGCTAGTCGCACTTAAACCTGAAGCCCTTGCACAGTTCATCAATACTAAATTAACGGCGAAGCTTAACCGGCAGTTGGAGGAACCCTTGATCGTCGCGAGCAGTTGCCTTCCCAGCTGGAGCGAAGATCTTGCTCGTCTCTTCCCCTTCCTGTTCCCATTTGAGACACGCCATTTGTTCCTTCAGTCGACTGCTTTTGGCTACTCGCGGGCGATGATGAGGTGGCACAATTCGCAAAGCGGCGACGATGGTCGGAACGATCACCGACGTGATGATCGACCGTTCCTTGGACGTCTCCAACGACAAAAGGTGCGCATCTCAAGAAGTCGTATCCTAGAGTCTGCTATGAAAGTCATGGAACTCTATGGCTCTTCGCCGAGCGTCCTGGAAGTGGAATATTTTGAAGAAGTAGGCACTGGATTAGGCCCGACCTTGGAATTTTACTCGACTGTTTCAAAGGAATTCTCAAAAAAGAAGCTCAAGATTTGGCGAGAAAATGATTGCAACGATGCCGAAGAGTTCGCTTTTGGCAAGCGGGGCTTGTTCCCCGCCCCTATGAGCGAACAGCAGGCTGCCTCGGAGTCCGGGAAGAAACAGCTACATTTGTTTAAAGTTCTCGGCAAATTTGTTGCTCGCTCGATGCTCGACTCCAGGATCATCGATGTCTCCTTCAACCCCGCATTTTTCCGAATCGCTGATAGCTCTTTCTCCGTAGCCCCATCTCTGGGCACGGTCAAGGCTGTCGATCAAGACTTGGCAAATTCCTTGCTCCTGTTGAAGCGCTTCGCCAATGCAAAGGCAGAAATTGAGAACAAGGAGCTTTCAGAGGCTCAGACGAGGCAGGCCCTACTAAACGTTGAAGTGGACGGTGTTACGGTTGAAGATCTGAGCCTCGACTTCACCCTACCCGGCTACCCGTCCATCGAATTGATCAAAGATGGTTCTAATGTTCCGGTAACGATCGAAAATGTCGATTTGTACGTTGAGCGGGTCGTGGATATGACTTTGAGTAGCGGTGTCCGGCGTCAGGTAGAAGCGTTCCGGGAGGGATTTTCGCAGGTTTTCCCATATTCCGCTCTTCGGACCTTCACACCTGCGGAACTTGTAATGTTGTTCGGAAGAGCAGAGGAGGACTGGTCTATTGAAAGTAAGTACACTTGATCCGTCTGTATAAGTACGGATCAACTAACATGCTGGTCCTAGCACTCATGGATTCTATCAAAGCCGATCATGGCTTCAACATGGATAGTCGCAGTGTGAGGAATTTGCTCCAAACGATGAGTGAGTTGGATGTACAGCAACGGCGGGACTTCCTTCAGTTTGTCACTGGTAGTCCCAAGCTCCCAATTGGAGGTAAGAAGAAAGCCCGCACTTCATTTACGCCGAGACGGATTCTGACAGGTATAACTTCTACAGGCTTCAAGAGTCTCACCCCGATCTTTACCGTTGTTTGCCGTCCCAGCGAACCGCCATATACCCCCGATGATTATCTCCCCAGCGTTATGACATGTGTTAATTACCTGAAGTTGCCGGACTACAGCAGCTTAGATGTCCTTCGAACCCGACTGTCTGTCGCTATTCAAGAAGGACAGGGAGCATTCCACCTGTCTTAGTCGCTCTCTTCCCTGCAGCTTGCGATCAAGTTACAGATGGTCAGAGAATTGCCTTCCATCGCTTATAGCGGAAACAATACAAAAATAGGAAAGAGAAACCAAAAAATGGGTACATTTGGTTCATTGGTACAGTATCTAGCGCAATACCCTTACATGGTGATTAAGGGAGGTTATAATGATGGCATGAATGAATCGAATCTGTTTACATCGGCCGGCTTTCTGCATTCAAAGTCCATTATTTACTTAGTCGCAGGGTATTGATTCCCGGACTTTGGGATGGAGTCATGGGGTTCGTCATTTTATTCTAGATAGAAAATGGAGATTTTCAGCGCAAAATTGTTGCCCAGTCTATCAGTTCGCCGTTCTATCTTGTGTCTATAGTCTATATGAGGTATTATATGATTATGCGTGAAAATATTTTGTTGAAGGGTATTTAGATTACATCGCGCTCTCGGCTGTCACGCCTCAATTAATCGCGATACAGAGGGACCATAGACTGTAACCATAAACAGTTAGTCACCACCTGAGTTAAAGGAGTCAGAAAGAAAAGGGGAAGCCATACCTCTGCAAACTTAGGTTCAACAAACAAAGCCCTAGCTTCGGCCACCAGAACGGCATCACTCTCCTCTCCAGCAGGTGGCAACGAGCTCAAGCTTCCCTCCACCCAAGCCTTCCTCCCCTCAACATTAACCGTATCGGCCCGCAGCACATACAACCGATCCGGGACTGCCGGCTTCCGAAAATCCACATTCAGGTTCGCCGTCATACCCAAGCCACTGGGAAACGACGCCGACACGCACCGCGCAAATGCCTCGTCAAACATAACGGACAGCAAGCCCCCATGCACGAATCCCGGGTGCCCGCACAATTGCTTCCCAATGTGAAACACAGAGATCACACGCCCCGCCCACCGGCTGCTGTCCTTCAGCTTCTCAGTCGCCGTCCACATGTACGGGGGCACGGTAATCTTCTCCGGGCCGGCCAGTGAGCCCCCAACGAAATGGGTGGGTCGTAGAGAGGGGTTCATGGAAAGGTGAGGGCGGGACTCTTTGTAGCTGGGATCCCGGCGGAGGGACTGCACCAGGGGCAGACGCGAGATGGAAGTTTCGACTTGGGGTTCGAGGGCTGGTGGTGTAGTGGTGCGGAATGAGGGGATGTCCTCGATGGGCGTGGCGTTTGTTGAGGCATGGTGGTCTTGGGCTGTTGCTGAGGCGGCAATGCGTACTGTGCGGATGGGCGTTGTTTGAGGGGTTGTCGTTGCGAGAAGCTTTAGTCGGTGGGTGTAATGTCGGGTTCTGGTTAAGATCATCATTGTTGCTTTTTGGGGTCGTGGTTTTTTCTTTTGGTTGAAGTGGTATCAGAAGGTAGTATTCGTATGCACAATGATATCAGGGGTTTTTATAAAGCTGTAGATCTATAGAAACTTAATTTATGTTAGTGTTGGACGGCGTCAAACTTCATCTATGTTAGCTAGGGTTTAGATCGACGTACCTATGATGCTAGGGGTTATTTAAGCTATTTAAGTGAATCTTGATAGGATCAGGAATGAGATAATGATTCTTCGTTACGACAGAACCCGGATAAAGATAAAAAAAATTGAAGAAAAAAACCGGAGAAAAAGAAATACTAACTCCGTAGTGGAGTATGTCTACGCTAGAGGCCCCACGTGGAAGTACGTGCCATCATTCTCGCAACTAAGAATACTCCGTATCGCGAAGCCAGTCCTGCACTATCGCCTTATCTCGCTGCTCTTGGTGACCTAGATCTTCAGGGTCTTCAGGTGCGTGGCTTGTGATCCATCGATGGTTCTCTTGGTTCATAAAATCTACTTCAAAGGGTATATCAAGCTTATTTCTTCAACATCGGCAGTTCCGGACGAGTAAATCCCTCATTTGCCACAGGTAGTGTCCAGTGGGAACAAGAGGATAATTCTGATTGCTCTAACAATCATTCTAAAATTTCTAAATATTCGCCATTGCCTTGATGATTCCAAAACAGTTCTTGCTTTCGAAAACTTTGATATCTCCAAATAAGGTTAGTCGGCATGCCGAGATTTCATTGATCGGGCTAGAGTGGGTCCCTTCGGAGTCATCCCGAGAGCTCCCCGATTCCGATGGGGAGGGACGGAGTATACACTGATTACACATAATAGTTGTAGAGCCATTGTGTCGTAATAGTGGTTAAAGTTGTATAACCTAGGGCAGATGGCTTGGAGCCAATTCTAGGTTTTAATGCTTGAAAGTTCAACTTGAATGGATGCATTCCGATCTCACCGAATCTGGGTACTTGGCGTTAGTGCTTTGTCTGTTACTCAACACGGTAGCTGGTCAATTAGATAGTTGATAGATACGGAATTGGGGCTCTGGTTTATGTCCGCGCTTGCGTATTGGAACAGCTGTTGCCAAATCCGGTTACTGGATGTAGGTTTCACATCCTGTCGTTATAGTCATGAAGACGTAGGCTGTTGCTCTTTTTGGAACATTGTTTAACTCTCTAGCTTTGGACTTTAATCCGAAGTATAAGTTTTTAGTCTAAAATTAAGGTTGTTTACTCTAGTCAGTGATGTGATATGAATTCACCTGATACTCAGTTAATATTCATACTAATCCTGTCATTAACTCGCTCAGCATTATCTACATGGAGTATCGTTACCTTGCAAGCCTGTTCTAGTTACAGTGTACCAATCTTATGAGCAGTCATTGCCACCGATGCGCTAGACAACTCACCCAGAGCACCAGGTCACCAAAGCCCTTTGACAAAGTAGTATGAGAGATCTCCCATGCCATTCTCTTCACCTGCCACTTGACCATTCCCAAGGCAACGGAAGCGGTTCGCAGAGTTATACTGAATGTTAAAATTTTCCGCGCCGATGCTGTCAAGACACTTCTTGAAATGACTGGTTGTGCCCGCGTAAGGAGCAGTGACCTGCCCCGAAGTCTTACCGTTCTTGTACCAGCTCCGGCAGTTATCCGCCCAGGCCGTCCGCTTAAAGTATTCCTGCGCCCAGACATTGTAGTCATCAATAGCCTCCTTCTTGACTTCCATCGACCTATGAAAATTAATAAAAAAAATTGTGTTAACCTTAGCAGTCAAGGGTGAACATACTTGATGTCATGAGTGGTCATGTGCTGGGCCCACCTCATGATGTAGTCGCATACGAAAGAGATTCCAGCCAGAAGTGAGCCATTGGAAACTGTGAAGTTTGGTCCACCAATAATGAAGTAATTGGGCATTCCGTCCACTTGCACAGAGAAGAATGCCTCTGGGTTGTGCTTCCACCGCTCGTCCAAGGTAGCGTTGTCCCGCCCTGACATTTTCCAACGTGGAACGAAGGATGTGTCAAAACCAGTGGCGAAGACAATCAGATCAAATTCTTCTTCCTTTCCATCAACTGTCTTTATCCCCTTCTCTGTGATACACTCAATCGCTTCCCAGCACATGTGTGTATTCGGGTTCTCGAAGGATTCCAGATACCCATCACAGGGTGTCAACCGGCGACAACCCGGGCTGAAATCCGGCTTCATCTTCAGAGCAATTGATGGGTCATGACTATTTTTCAGTCTTTCCTGCATCTGCTGCGTGGCGATCTGGGTGGCAAGCTTATTGAAAGTGTGGCCTTTCATCATACCATAGGCAAACTGATTAACACTGGAGTAGGAGCATTAGTGCCGGTCTGCAGATGCTCGTTGAGATGCTCCTCTCACCAGTTCTCAAGTTCCTTGCGCATCTTGAAGAAGGCCACGGGGTCTTCTCTGAATTGCTTCTTTTCCTCTTCAGTGTATGCAAAGTTTCTCCCATCCCTCGTTAAGTGACCACTGAAGTTGGAAGCGATCCATGTTGGGTTGCGGACATAGTTAACCATCTTGGAGACCTGGGACTGCATCGCTGTGACACACTGAATACCCGACGAGCCGTTTCCAATGACTGCTACGCGCTTGTTCTTCCATTCGTATGATTCGTCCCTAAAATCAGTCTTAGTTCACTCTTCAAGTCTCCAGCAGGTCAGGAAGGAAAGTACCAGGCCGCAGTGTGGACCAGTTTACCGCCAAATTCACTCATTCCTGGAATGTTGGGCAACTTCCAATTGCTTTTGCATGTAGTTAGCAAAATCAGCCAAATCTGAAGGTCAACTCCTTGTTACCTTAATGGGCCTGATGCGCTAACAAATATTTCGGCTTCGTCCTCCTTAATCACACCGTTTTGCTCGACCTTCACCTTCCATTTACCAGTTGCTTCGTCCCATATTGCCTCTACCACTTTGGAATTGAGGTCAATGTTGTCATACAGATTCCACTTGCGGGCTGTCCTCTGTATGTACTCTTTAATTTCGGGGCCAGGGGCATAAAACCGCGAGTAGTTGGGGTTCGGTTCGAATAGGAAAGTATAAGCATCTGATTGTTATTCGCTCACGGTTAGCAAAATTCTTGTTTGATGCTGAAAGTTGATCCAAGGGCGATCTCACGGGCTGGGACATCACTAGAATAGTCCAATTGGTAGTGATGAGTGACTCTATTACTCGACGCAATCTCAATGACTGATTCTTACCAAGCAACACCTGGGTATCGGTTCTCAAACCAGGTTCCACCCACATCTGCATTCTTCTCATAGATCACAAAATCCACCACATCCTCCAGTTTGAGTCCATGTTTGATTTTGTGGGCGAGAGTCAACCCGCCGAAGCCGGCTCCTGCGCAGATAATTTTGATCTTCCTGGGAGTAAAAGCGACGTCTTCCTTAACTGGAACCCAGTTTGGAGGAGTCTGGCCCTGCGCGACAAGGCCAGCCAACGTGACTGGGTGTCCGTTTGATGTGTCCTCGGGGCGTCTCATGGCTACAATGTGTGTTGGGCAATGTGTATGTGGCAGGGAGGATCTGCTCCACGGAGTTCGTAAGTGCTATATAATCCATTGGCGCGTTCTAATAGCTGCAATTGCTAGCGCTAAACACTACCCCCTGTAGAGTAATTTCCGTCACATCGTGCCATCGCTGCCATCTCCTGTAGATCTCGGGTTGCAGGCGGCGCAACCGATGTCTCACCCCGACTAATAAATACCAATAAATTTACGACAACATGAACCTCGACCCCCACCAAACCGCCGACTCTGTTGAAGTCCGTTCGTGGCTAAGTGGCGCGTGCCCCGCGCCGTCGCGACACTATCTCCAAACCTAATGTACGGCCTCGCACGGGGTAGTTCTGGCATTGGATGACCCACCGCAGATGTGGAGATCACTACGTACTCCGTCGTGCACGATGCAGGGGCTATTTTGGCCCTCTCACGGTTCACCAAGCACGATCCCCGACGTATAACCATTCACAACGCATAGTTGTGCGCAAAGCATCTCTCATTGGCGAGATTGCGATCAACATGTTATATCGCTCACCATTAGTGCTATGGCTTCAAGACACTAGCAGCAAGCTAGCCTCCGGACTATTGCAACCTCATAAATCTCATACGCAGGGTAGACAGGAAGCCAATCCACCGAAAGGCGGCCTTATGTAACCATCAGCCATCCTCCGTGCCAGGGCTCGTCGTCGGAGTCCGGACGAACAGGGTTCGTTCGGCCTGATTACGATACATTAGCAACCCTAAAGCCCAACACGCGAATGGAATCTCACCCTTGCATAACACAATACAACAAAGTTTTTGCTACCTACATAGACTAGAATTTAGCGTTTTTAAGCATATATATAACTTCTCATGCTATTTCTCTCTTTCCATGTCCTCTGGCTGAACTGCCGACTCTGACGCCTCTCTCTGCCCATGTCTGCGTCCGGAGACTTTGGGCCTGCGCCCCCGGGCGTTGACCTCTCGGAGAACCAAGATGGCTCTATGCTTGGGGCGGTCATTACCCTGATTATACTCGGGACGCTGTCCGTAATCCTGCGGATATACGCTCGGACTGAGTTCAAAAAGTTCCAGTTTTCTATTGACGATTATCTGAGCTTTGCTGCCTTGGTAAGTAGGCCTTCCAGGTCGAAGCCACGTATATGCGAGTCATAGCTCATTCTCCCCGCCATTATTCAGTTATTTTCCTACTCGCTCGGTATCTGTGTGATCATTAGTGAGTTCTCTCCTACCGCTTCATTTATCCCTTCATCGTCTATGCAGTAGCACACTGACCGTGGACAGGCGTCAAATACAAAAACGGGCACCACGTCCAAGCCCTCACCAAACACGAATTCACAGTCATTTGGAAACTTCTCTACGCCCACGTGATGTTATACGCCTTCTGCGTGACCTGCACCAAAACGTCCATCATTTTGTTCTATAAGCGCATCTTCAACCTTCGCTACTCTCTCTACTTTGCTATGTTCTTTATCCTGGGCTACTTCATAGTCATCATCGTCACGATAAACGTGGCATGCGATCCGATCCCATACTTTTGGGAGCAATATACCGATCCCGATACCGCAGTCGGCAGCTGCATCGACATCCCCAAATTCTTCTTCGGAAACGGTATCGCAGCAGTCTTGATTGACATTGTGATTCTCATCATTCCGATCCCGATTACCTGGAAACTACAAATGCCCAAAACCCAGAGATTGGCCGTGATCGGCATTCTTTTACTGGGTAGCTTGTGAGTTATCATTCTCTCTCCCCTTGATACCTTAAAAAAGACCGCCCCAAGCCAAAAAAAAAAAGGAAAGAAAGAAGTGATCGGCGTCGCTAACTAATCTAAAGTGTCTGCATTGCAGGTATTGTCCGACTCGTCTTCCTAAACCGAAACACGCACTCGGACGATGCGACCTGGTCCGTGGCGCCCGTCTTCGTGTGGTCGTGCGTCGAACCTTCAATCGGAATCGTCTGTGCATGTCTCCCTACATTATCTCCGCTTTTCCGCCGTTGGTGGTCCAACATCGTCACTGGAAGGTCAGCCAGTGCAAGCGCGAAACAGACCCCCTCAGGGTACAATCTGGGCAGCCGGAAATCCCGTCTCACGGATCTGAGTATGACGTGGACCCATGGGGATGAGGTCGAGCTAGTGGACACCATCATCGAGCGTAAATCGATGTCCATGCAAAGGAGAGGGAGCGAGGGGGGGAATTCATCACGATATTCGGGAATTCGAGTGAGAGACGAAGTGACGATCAGTTACACGGCGGTTTGATTGGGTGGTGCTATACGTTTTTACAATTCATGTATATATGACAAATTTTTCTAATCGATGAACCTTAACGATCAATAGTTTATGTTCGTCGGCGACACTAGTCATGATGTAGAGTTTTTCGGCGGACTTCTTTTCCGACTTGCAAGTTGTATCTCTCATTCATTGGATGGTCACCTTACTCCAATGTCTGTCAAAGCAGTAAGATCAACCTCAACTTGTTCTTTGAAGAGAAAAGATGGCCTGACGTGCTGCTCTTAGCGCTTCAAGAATTTCCCTTGGCAGGTCCAACCAGAGTCCATTAACGAAGGTGGATCGACGTTAGCATTCCCTGAAACGGGGCGTCCCATGTGGATACAAGCTAAAGTAGTGGCTGGGCTGGTGACAACACAACAGACGTTCCATGATTCATGAAAGGGCAATAGTAAGGAATTTGTATTTTCATTCGGTTAAATGGAGGGGTGGGTTATTGATATTTGGCCACTGTTCTAGTCGAACACGAAAGTTCAATCAATTGTTTTGGCCTGAATCGCTTCCAGAGAAGTGCTTTGGCCCCCACGGGGATTTATATCAGATCCACTACACTGCGTTGAACTTCTTCCAAGCCCTCCGAGTCTAACCTGTTGCCTGAAATATTTTTTTTTTTCCAAAGCAGCTGGGACAGTTGGAACATGGTTGGGAATTTCATGATAAGAAGATAGGGGGTTAAAATCTCAACAGCCGAGGTTAGGGCTAACTAACTTCAATTACGATCTTATCAGGGTTTCTTTTCAAACTTCCATATCGGAAATCGGAATCTCAATTTCCACCGTGTGAATTCACAGTATTTATTCTAGAAAAGCTTCAGGCTCTGGGGAAATAAAACGTAGGCCACGCGAGTTATTATTATTGAATGTGGCTTGCAGCATTATTCAGGGACTATTTTTTGATTTTAAACTTAGGTTAGGATGTTCCTGACGATCAACTGCCCATTGCGGTCCCTCGAATATGACACCCGTCCATGGCGGGTTCCATGGTAGAAGCATCGGCTAAGCTTAAGATCCTTTCTTGAGTTACATAATAAAATATATCGGGACGTCGATGTGCAGACTCCAAAGGGGGTCAAAGAGTTCAATTGTGGATCCGTAAAGTCAGGACTATTTGCCACGCGGGGCTGATGAACATTACGTGCATGTTCTTATATTGAGTATTCCTATTTTGTCTCTTTTCCTTTCTCGCTTTATGAGGTCATATCGTTTGGGAAGTTGTTATGCAGTGGATACTCGCGTGGCGAAGATAGGGATCCCTCCTGGTGATCTTCTTCTTTTGAGTCCTGCAGTCTCCTATCTGGTAAAAGAGTTTCGTTATCACTTATTATGCAGGGTGAACCAAACATAATCCGCGGACTGGAGTGTCATAATATTTATGTATGTAACTCTCTATGATTGTATGCACACTCTCTATTATTTATCCATAGTCAGCATTTGTGTCGTTATCAGCTGAAGCAACTGGTCCCGGCTCTAGTGGAACAGATTGATAAGCTGGATCTTCTCCTAAGATTCATTGTTCAAGCTTGTGCAAAATGACGGCTGTGCTGTCTTATCCCAAGAGTTGGAAATACCTGAGGGACTCGAGCTTTACTAAAGAGAAAGAAATGAACCATGAAGAGTTCGGCAAGGTCTACGTAGTGGTCATTGTTTAAAACTGATATCATCGTCTTTCCGTTCGTCTATGGGCGTGTATATACAGAGGTAGTGCAACAGAAGTGAAACTGCTATGTAATATTTATCATTAAGAATAGATTATTTTTATACTGATTTAAAAGTGAAATGACACTCGTTGAATCAAGGGGTTACCGTGAGGTTCTTCGATGTTAGAGCCTCCGAGACAGTTTTGTATGTAGCTGTAGCCGTAGAAGTAGACTAAAAGTTAGCTGCAATGAATAACATCATCCTTCACCCTAATAACTTTGAATTTCTTTTTCTTTTTCTTTTTTCTTCTTTTAGTTGATGCTTCTTGCCCGGTAGCTAATATACTGAATATCTCGACATATTGTATGTACACAGAATCGGCATAGCATTTATAAGCATCCCTGGATAACTAGGAGCAATGCCCGGGTTTTATATAATCAGTTCAGTCGTTAGAGTATTACAGTACTAACTGATTTAATGATATGGTCAATCTCTACATGTAAAACAGAAATTTATACCTCTTTGCTCAAAGCACATGCCTACATTTAGTTGTTTCATGGACGTGGGCCATGGCCATAAACAAGCCCATCAAGAATAACAAATTCCGTAGAGCAATTTCCGGAAACCACACCAGCACCCAAAGCGCATCAAAAACAAGCTATCCGTTAAAAAAAAAAGACCTTGACTAGCCGCCCATGGTTCGAAATAACAGTTGGCTTGATTGGATAAGTGATTGCGAGATAGAGAATTGTGTTACCGGTGGTAGGATCCTAGAGGGAGAAGGACCGTCCTGTAAATTCCTTTATCTATTTATACTTGTAAGAGAGCCTAAAGTTATGGCTCGAGTAGGCTCTCCGGTAGGTTACAATTCTATTAAGTACACTATTACCCTATTCACATATTATAACTATAGGCTAGTTTAATTAATAGTCCAACACGAATCCTACTAAGACAGCATTCTAGCTAGGGTTGAACTGATCAAATTCTTGCTCTACGATTCTACTCATATAGAATCACATTGCCTTATAACACTGGGCACCCCATAATATGCCCCAGAAGTAATAAGGAACCAATATCAAGTCATGAAATATGAGGAATGTACTCGGCCCACTGTAACGTCTCGTAGACCTCTCTTGGAAGAAACGCAAGGTTAACAAAGCATTCCACAACCAGAAATAAGCGACTAAAGATATAAAGCGTGAAAAACATGGGAACGACGAATCGCTTCCAGGCCGTGTAGCCTGTTTCATGACGTGACATCAGAAAAAAACTAAATATAACAAACAAGCATGGTCCGCTACAGGTTATTACCAGGCTGCACATATGCCAGAGTGTTTTCTCTGCAGCCGAGTGAAAGGGGGCGTCCCATGCGAGGAGATGCAGAGATCCATAGATAATTCCCGAAAAGCCGAAAGATAGCCAAGCCCAAACCCAAACGGGATGCCAGGTCTGATGATAATATGGCGAGCCTAGGGCGCCGGAAATAGGTTGTCTGCCTTTTACCAGCCAGCGTAGCGTCCCGCCCCAGTTTTGGCATCTGTCTGCGACGCCTTCATAATCCAATTTATCGGCGGTGAACTCGCGAGAGGATCGAAGACACAAGAAGCCGCGTGCTAATTGCGATAACTGATGATTTGATCCATATTCCGGCTGCCAGTTCTCTGTCTTCGCCTTCAAACATGCGGCTTTTGTGAGTTCCCAGCGTGTATGGTCCGTAGAAGCGCCGTTGTCGAGGAGGGCTGTAGCGAGTTGCGTTTTGGGGCTGGATTGGGAGCAGTCCATTCTTAGATCTCCTCTTTCCATCGCTAGTCCAGACTGGTCTAGAAAGGGACCAAGACACCCATCTATGTTGGACATGGTACACATCGCTGCGCATAGCTCCATGGCTTGGGGGCCGCTGATAACCAACGGCTCAGACACATCCAGCGGCTTGTGCCACCATATCCCGTACATGATCAGTGCGCACACCGCGTGGACAAGGGTATTCCATTCCAGAAGGCTAATGTAGATCCCCTTGTTGATTCTCGCAAATGTCTGCACGCAGAACCAAAAGGCCTGAATGCACATGAGTGCCTTGGTGACTCCATCCGCCTTGCTCTTGTCTTTGATCTCCTCGCCTGAAATGTCGGGAATCAGATGGGGAGCATGTTCAGCCAATGTCATGATCCCTCTCGGTAGAATTGTCAGTCGAGTTCTATGGGCCGGCAGGAAATCCATCTCCCCTGTGTCAAATACGACACCGCCCATCACGACAAGGAAGCTATGCATCTTAGTCCATTGATGGAGTCTGCGCGACCGTCTCCGGGACCGTTCAATCCCGGCTTCTAGGTCGGTTTTCTTCCAGCGCCGCCGTAGCCTCCGAAACATCCTCCTTATCCATGAGACAGACCGGTCTTGCTGATATGCTTTGCAGATTATCCTCGTCAGGCGATGGGCTTCAGTCCATTGGCCTAATGCAGCGAATATGACCTAGAAAGTCCCAGAAGAGTCAGCAAGGTTTCTTGTGCTTATTATTCATCAGACTGAGGGAGATAGGGAGAAAAGAAAAGGGATTGATTGTATACCACTTCCGGAGCAAAAATCCCAAGGACCAGCCAGGCTGCTTTCCTCCACCACAATACCAGCCACGACAACTTAGGCCATCTTTGAACCAAGAACCCCAAGCTCCGATACTTTTCAGTATAGTTCGACTTCCCGTGGCCCGGCAGGTTGAGATGCACGGCGGTCCATACACAAAGGGCGAGTGTTATTAAAGAAGATGAGAGGATGGCCCATGTCCCACGTGCATTGGGTTCAGATTCCCATCGAGCTGCGGTGTCGTTGCGCGGGCGGACTCCAAAGATTGAAGTCATGTCAGATACAGCTGCTCGGTACTACTTACTTGCAGTTGTAACTGGGGCTCTGTGAGGGGGCCTCAGTATATATATATATATATATACACCATCGTCTCTCCGATCGACAGAGGCTTTTTGAGTGTGACTTGTTCATTACTAGTAGTTTTGCTACCGTCTAAGAGGTCGTTGAAGGCACGAGGGAGATTTGAAGAGAACAACAGATCATGAATGAATGGATGCATGGATCTGAAGCGGAATTACCGTAATAGGCAGTCGAGGGCGATGGCTTACGCCGATTGGTTCTCATAAAAATAAAAGAAACGAACTACGAGTGTTTAATCGCTCGAACTGATGATCGTCGCCTGTCAGCCGCTCAGCCCCCGCGATTGAATTTAACCCTCCCTCAACCTTAGGCATCAGCTTTCCCTCTCAACGCCTGACCGGTGTAGCGTCCAATGCGCCCGGACAGGTAGGCATTATACGCGCGACGCCATGGAGCGGGCGCCACGCAGACTAACAGGCGGGCACCGAACCAAAAAGTGCAAAACATGTAGGGATCGCAAGGTGAAATGTGGTATGTAGGCTGATTCCTTTACCTCCTCCTACTATTACATACCGCTATTATCGACAGCCCCGCTGGTTCGCCTCACATCGTGGTAACAGCTCTCTCTCCAGACCGACAGGAGCCATTCTGTGCAATGTGCAGGAAACTGGGCTACACTTGCCCAGGCTACATTTCATCTCTTGTGATTGTTCCCTTTCAGCCAGCAGGGAAGAGCGCTCCTTCCAAGGGAACAGAGTGGGGCAAAAGTGATCCTCGAGCGTTGGCTGCTCGACGGGCAATGCCAGTTGGGATGTCTATGTTAACTCCCGACCCAGTTTCCATCTCCCGCGAATATTTCCTGCGTCGGCTTGTTGGCAGCGACCCCCTCCCGCAAAGGTCGGGGATTCCTAGCCTTCTGTGTGCGTTCTTGGATAGAGCCTTGTCGGTTGGCTCCTTTCAGTACGAATGTACGAAGGCGCTTACTGTGAGCTATCACTCAATGACAGCTCTGGGTTCTCATGGAAGCGCCGCTGGGGAAGCCATGAAGGCATATTCCCATGCTCTGAGAGCCGTATGGAAAGCCATCGACCAAGATTCAACGACAGGACCGGACATCCTGATGAGCATAATGTGCCTTTGCCTCTACGAAAATATTGTCGTCACCGAGCCGAGGTCCTGGATCAAGCATTACAAGGGGATCTCTCATCTGGTAGATAGCCCGTGGTAGGGTACCGTTGCTGCTGTCTTTGGATTGGCTAATCTTCGTAGTAGATTGAGATAAACGGGCCAGAGCATTATCGAAATGGAAGGAACAGAGACATTCTGCTGGCCTTCCGCTACACAATAGTAAGTATATTAATCAATCCGACAGTGCCTATGCATTCTTTGAACAAGAGTAACATGACTAGATTGTAAGCGCTGGAACGCTTCACCAGCCGTGCTTCCTGGCCGAAGAACGCTGGAGAAAAGCTATGGAACTGACCGAAGATGAATCACGCGATATATTGGACACTTTGCTCAATATCGCTGTTGACATCCCCGGTCTCCTACATGGTCTGAATCATCTAAAAGATGACAGACTTCTGGATAGAAGGAACCATGCAATCCTGAAAAGAAGTCTAGAACAGACCTTGACGTCACTTCAACAGTGGCAAGATACCTCTTTTTTCCGGCCTAATGCAAACAATACCTCTCCCCCGGGATCCATCGCCCAAACTGCCCCCGCAATCGCCTTCCACCATATGGCCCTTCTTCTCTTAGAAGAGCTGTGCTACCTGCTTGAGGTTCCGTGGCTGCCATCGTCGCCTCCATTGTCAGGGGTGATAGCCGGGCTGGACAGGCTATCAACTGCGCACACACGAGCGCAGCGCAAGCACGCTCTGGCAAGCGAGATATTGAGTCTGGCACAGCGATCCATAGGCGACGACACGGGTGTCTATGGTGTCCTCCGCTTTATCATGCCCTTGCATGTAGCCCATGACCACCTCCTCCCTGCAAGTCCGGAGACTGATGCTATTGGAAATCTCATGAATACCGTTATGGCTGGGCAGCATGGGTTCTACATGGCGAGGCGGCATGAAGGAATGTATACGTCATTATTGGGATCAAGCTCTACTACGTAGGGCTTCCGTTATTCTGTCAATTCTTTCGAAGTGGTGGAATCTGTAATGCCGTATGAAACTGGTGAAAGCGCTCTGGACTCGATATGAGTTAAAGCAATCCAGACATAAGAGTAAAACGGGGTGCTAGCTCCAAGGGGTTCAGAAAAATTAGTGCCGCTTTATATAAGTCTTTAATTTCTAACCCCCTCAGAGCTATTTTTTAACTAATCTTAATTTTACTAAAATAAAAGTTCTGACTCTCGTAGAGCTTTTTTATATGATCTTCTTAGTTTCTAACTATGGTTGATTAAATCGGGTTTAGCGGGGAACCCGATCAACTCTACTATCGACCTCTAGGGCTACTATGTATTCCAAGTGCTGTTACAAGAATTACAATGTTATAAGCTGGTTGTATAAACGGAGCAAATATTTATATTTCTGGATTGTCTCTGAAGGAACTATTCGAAGCACGTAAGCCTCTGTTATCAACTTCTCTGAAAAAGCTGTACAACAAGCCACCCTTTCACCATGATATCTCACAATCCAATCAGTTTAGTCTGTGATCTGGATAACAACCTTGCCGACCTGCTGCCCCGACTCAAGCCTCCGATAAGCCTCGCGATATTCCGCAAAGGGATAAACCCGATCAATAATAGGCCTTGTTTTGTGTCTCTCCATCGCCTTGAGCATCGCCTCGAAATCCATGCGCGAACCAATAGTTGACCCGGTCACTGTCAGGGTTCGAGTAAGTATATCAACTGGGGGAAGGCCACCGCCGAAACCGCTTGCAAACCCAATCAGGACAACCGTGCCAGTTATCTTAGTCGATGCTGCAGACTTCACAATTGTTTTCTCGCCCGCAATATCTAGCACCTTATCGACGCCCTTTCCATCAGTCAGAGCAAGAATCTCGCGATCCCAGTCAGGGTATGTGCTATAGTTCACCACAGACTCGGCGCCTAGTTCCTTCAGCGTAGCGGCCTTTTCGTCAGATGACGTGATCGCAAGGACCCGAGCGCCGAAGATTTTCGCAAACTGCAAGGCGAAAAGCGAGACACCACCGGTGCCCTGGACCAGGACCGTCTGGCCCGGCTGGAGGGGCTCGATCTTGTTAAGCGCTGTCCAGGCTGTGACCGCTGCGCAAGGGAGCGAGGCAGCCTCGGTGTAGGACATATAGTCAGGGATGGGGACGAGTGCGTCTTCGTAGAAGAGGGCGTATTCAGCCAACATCCCGTCGATACTGAAGCCGACGCTGCTGGAACGATAGTCTGGGTTGTACGGGCCGCCGATCCAGTTTGCGAAACAACTCACTGTGATGCGGTCGCCGGTTTTAACTCGTGTTACGTCTTTGCCAACTGCCACAACTTCGCCGGCACCGTCGGAGACAGGGACAACGCCTTTCTTGGTCTCCGCGGGATATTCCCCCCTCAACAGGGCCGTGTCGCGGTAGTTCAGGGAGGCCGCGTGTACCCTAATCAACACTTCATGGCGACCCGGGCTTGGTAGAGGTTCGTCATGAATTTCTGCGCTGGCTTTGTTGCCTGTGCTGACAATTCGGCCGGCCTTCATTTGTTCCATGGGTAGAAATAACGGAAAGGCTTTAGCCAGAGGCGGTTTGGCTTATTTAAATAAGTTGATTTGCGAGATAAAATAATTGCAACATGGGTGGCAGGATCCTAGAGGAAGTAGACTTCTTATCTACTTATACTTGTAAGAGGCCTCAGGTTATAATGATTAGAGTGGGCTCTCCGAGGTGGGCTCTCCGATAAAGTTGACAATTCTATTTAACATATTCAGTAATTAAAACTATAGTTAGTTAACTTAATAATAATGTTAAATTAATAATCCAACCCTTGAATCTTACTAAGATAACAACTCTAACTAACTACTATCCTATTATTCCTGCGAACTAATACACCACAATAAATCTTGAGGAATAATTCTACATTTTTTATAAGGGTTTAACGTAAAAAAAGAATGGGCCCAAAAACATTCCTATGTCGATTTCCGCCCTGCCATGCGAGATACCAGCGGAAGGAGCATCTTCGTCGTCATGAGACGCAACATCACCGACGACAACTTGTCCAATGTTCAACCTGTAACCGAGAATTTGGCCGAAGGTAAGGAGGAAGTCCTTACTTAGAGAAAGTTTAATCTACTGGTCCTTAATGCTGGCATCCTAGCGACATACTCCGGCGACACCTACAAAACGTGCATGGAGTAGAGGAACGTGTGCCTCCCATGAAACAAGCATGTATATCCTGTCGAGATCAAAAGACTAGATGTCAAGGAGGGCCACCATGTAGCAAGTGCGTGGACCGCGGAATCCACTGCTCGCTGAGTCGGCATGAAGAACAGCCAGGTGGCTATCTCAGTCACCCACAAGACACACTATTGATTGATGATCATTCCACACAATCCAAGGCCGGTCGCTCTGGAAAGGAAAAACACTACCTCGATTTATATTTCACGTTATTTCACCCTCACTGGCCATTTATTCACCGGGGGTCGTTTCGTGAGGATAATGAAACACCCTTACTTGTCCAGTCGATGATTGTCATCGGTTTGTGGGTGAGTAACGAACTGGATGCACAGTCAAAAGCAGTTGACCTCCACAACGTCCTCAGCTCGGCCATACATCAGCAGAAAGTATGTAGTCGAAGTCCTCCCTGTACCTTGGTCAATTCCACTGACAGGGGAACATATAGGAGATATGGGATGCTTCGATCTCAAAGGACGCAAGTAGTACCTGTTCCTGGCCGATACCGACCTATCAAGCTATCTTACTCCATCTGATCTTCGCTGTACTACACAAAGGCAGTGGAGTGCTTGGTCTGGACTTGAAGCCTTCTCTTACTCCTGTTGATGCCGATCTCCTTTACAGACTTGTCGCGAGCTGCCAAAAGCTGGGCATGCTATACTATCCAAACATGCTGAGGCGATTTGGCCAGACTGATCTTGCTTCATATGTCTGGGTAAGCATTGAGGAAATTAAACGATTTAACATGGCACTCTTTAAGGTCTGCAGGGCTTTCAGCAGCTCAAGCGAACACGGGAGTAGTATAGACAGTTCGTATATGAATATGGCAGGGGCAGCAGCAAGCAGGAAGCTTTATGCACGCGATTTACAGTTTCCATTGCCAAGCAATACTCCATTGTGGAACGCTGTAAGCAGAGAGGAATGGGTGTCTGCGGCTACAGAGGACGTATGTCGCATTAGCCTGGACGACACTTTGGAGGTGGAATGGATCTCGAATTCAGCCAAAGTCTTGGAGCTAATTGAGACTCCACATGTCTTCGGGTAGTGTGGTTGGATAACCAGGACATTACTCTGAATTAGAAGCACAGCACTGAGCTGTTCGAATAGTAACAACTTACATATTGATGTTCACATCGTACCTGATGATAGTCATGACTACTTGCCGAGATAATCTTTATCTTCATTGTTCCATACAACCAAATAATTCGGGTGAGATTGGAGCGTGGTCTCGAGAAGCCATATCACCGACGAAAGCGAATCAATGTGTGAAGTCCCAGACGTTCCCTTGATGGGTTCAAGAAATGTCCTATGCAGAATCATGCCCCGGGGCCTGTTGCTGAGTGTCGGTTGGCAGAAATAAGAATTGGATTGCTAGACTATCCTATGGCCAAATATGTTGATCGGATAAATCTCACTTTCCAGAAATACCTTGCTGATGTATTTAATCCCACTCACTAGACTCAATATAAGCAATCCAGTCATAAGAGTACCACAGCACTAAATTAGCCAATAATATTAGTAACCCTTATTCCTAAGATAGAAGGTTCACATGTCTTTCCTCATTCCTCATTCCCGTATTTAGTTAGTAGTTCAATTCTAGCAAGGGTTGATGCATATACAAGCCTATATCTGCAGCCTTTATTGCAGATATCTAGACCTTTTTGTTCACCGGACATACTCGAGTTTGACCTCACTACCAGGGGACCTATCTGATGTATGCTAAGAATTGGAACCGTAAATAATACAGCTTTTCTCACTTCCAGTAGTATGTGCCTATCCTTTGCATGTCATCCTTTGTTTTTTACGACACATATCTTTCACCCCAGTATAGGTCAATCCTGAGATCTTCTAGTTTCTCTGACATGGCCAATACCATGGGTGCTGATTATAATCTTGGCAAACACCACCCGGTCAAAATTGAAAGTCTTCCAATCTCAACTCGAGAAAACCAGGACGATAGAGAGGACAGCTATCGCAACCTTTCCACGCCAATTTCTACAGAGATAGACGCAAATCTAGTATACAGCATCTATAAACTCTTCAAGGACGTGGAGTCCCCGGAGTTCGACAGTCTATGGCAAGAAAGCCCCGGCAAGGCATTAAGCCCGTCTGCCAAGCAGGCAGCGTCCACATATAGACGAACTCTCTGCCTCGGATTAAAAGCGTTATTGGGGCAAGTCACAATTTCCAATAGCCAAGTCTGACAGGATGCAGTTGTATACTGCCGAGCAGTCATCGCTACCCCCCAGGACTCCATTAACCGGACCAATTCGTACTGGATCAGATGCTCTTCCGACGTAAGCAAAACAAAACTGCAACGATTTGGCCCGGGGTTCATTGCTGCAGCGTATAAGGGCAACTCCGACATTATATCAGATCATTTCCAAGGAGATCGGCCGAAAGTGCCCCACGTCGATAACAAACAGAGCTTCTACCGCAATGCGCGAAATATGAACCTGGGTGCTTTCTTCTATCCTTCCTCTAGCCCCTTGGCGATTGGGGCCTTTGAATCAGGGATAGTGCCATGTTCGCTGTATATGTCAGCTTTCTGGACCCGGAGGCGGCTGTCAAAGCGGCGTTAGTTTCTGGGGTTGCCATTCGTGATGACCATGCTGCGTTCTCGATTGAAGATTACGAGATTCGGCTGCGTATAGTTGGGGTGTCCCTTGGGTGTGCGTATGAATTCGGTGGGCAATTGGTTAATGCAATAAATGATGGGAGTATGTTGCAATGTGTTCGGACTGGGGACCAACTTACTCTTGAGGCTGCTTTGGCGTGGAGAGTTATCAGTGGTTGTACGTCACCTAACAGTGGGTATATAATCGGTAAGGAAGGTTTGGAAGAGGGACTTATCATAGCGGAAGTTTAAATCGCGATGCATGACTTGCTAGACTGGAGGTCTGATGTAGCGGCTGGTAACCATGAAAATGGAGTTTCGGCAGCATATGGACCGGGTATCAAAGACCCGTTTCACGCTTATTTGGAGGCTATATTGAAGCGAGCGGAGTCTAATCCGAGATCTGGTGGGTATACGATTGCGGCCATTGTGCTTATGCACTTTACAGGTGTTAGATACGGTGCATATGGCTATCATGGCACTCATGGTGAGCCATGCTCTGAGTGTGTTCAGATTCTGCAAAACGTGACAATGGGTACAGGGCTAGTTTGGGCTCCAAAACCGCCTCCTAGAATCAAGAAAGTCTCGGCTGGTTTCAGCATCTTGTGTCTACAGGAGAAATTCGAATTTTTGATTGATGAAGTTGATGCTGAGGCCGATTGGGTCTGACAAGATAGACTTTTGTACTTGTCACCGATGCACGTATTCATAGGGAAACCTAAAGTTGATACTGTTAAATTTTCTCTCATGCCCACTGTTACCCTAACATTATTGATCTTTCAAATAGCTACAGATAATTGGAACCGCTAAACTCTCTACGTATCCCCCTAATCAACAACTCAATAAAGGACCAAGAATCCAATAAATACGAAACACACGCAACACTTTTAGAGCCCTAACATAATCAACCAACCAATCTAATTCCAGCATTTCACCAGTTCTTCCATTCTAGATCTGCAAAGGAAACTACGTACCGAGCGTCAGCCACCTCGCTGTTTAATTAGAATAAGGTTTCCAGGAACTGAGCGTTGTCAACTTAGGGCTACTTGCTAGCTTCTGATAAATGCCCGAAGCGGAAACCCATCGGACGACAGTTGCCCTCTATCCTGGTCTGTTCTACTTATGTACATCTACTCTGTAGAGCCACATCGTCTGGATATTGGATCCACTGGGGCTGGATGTCCAATCAGAGGGCTAGCTGGGTGTTGAAGAAACTCATTCTGAGGGAGAGTCCCCACTGGAAGGGAATTATTGACGTGCTATATTGGGATGAATTATAACCTCACATTAGGATCCGGGAAGGAAATCGCTGAGCGAGGTGTTGGGAATGGAAAGTAAAAACTCGTGATAAGGATAAAGAAAGGTAGGTTGAAGCAATTTAAAATAGAGAAAATAAAATAAGCAAATAAATAAATAAAGGGTAAACGAGACGATAGTCTAACTTGGGAGAAATAAATTTGTCAAACCCAGGTCGACACAGGCCCAATCCGAACAAGAAAAGAGGTTGACGATTAAAATTTGACACCGAGCATGCTAATCGACTACTAGAACCCCCTCTTTCAGCTGATCAACTGAAGAAAATCAATGTCGGGGGTGACGGCAAACTCCTTATACGTGGATAGCAAATGCCCTAAGTTAGCCGCCAATCAAGCTGGCTGTTTGCTTCCCAACTCCACCAGTTCCTTGGGTATCTACAGATGTCTCCCTACCAACGAGCATACTAATGGGAGAGCAAACAGTAAAGCGAATTTCATCATCGTAGTTTCCGAACGCGACTATGTTTTATAGCGGTGAGCTTCTGCTAGTTTGCGGGCCGACGACGCTCTGGTATATTCTTAACTACTATTTCTGACTTTGCGGTACCTTCGTATATGAATTTTTTACAAGGCAGATATATATATACGTACATATATATATATGGACACTCACAGTTCTTGAACAGTTGTGGGTGGGTGAAGCTTGAGATCATCTGGGCTTGAGGTATTCTTTTGCTCGTACAGTATCCTATTGTTATCGGGATTTTTAACTCACGTTAGGCTTTCGGTTAGCAGCCATTTCTTTTTTTCCATTTTTCCCCCCCATGGTCATCGTCATAGCCTTTGGATACGTTCAAAACTGTGAAGGCACATTCATTATCGTGGGTATAAGAAACTCCCGCTGACAAAGGCAGATGTGTGAGAACGTGCGAGGTCGGTTCGGGGTCTGTGGCCACGAAGCCACTGTATACATCGCGAGATGTGCTGTTGCCCTGCAGAACCAAGTGACGTGTCCGCCTAACCAACGCCAAGACGTCTGGGACTGGCAGGAGGATAAGGATAACGACGAGTGTCCAGCATGCAGGGGGCAAACACCACCCGAGACACCTTGACAAGAGAGAGACGCGAACAGGGTCGGGAAGGGGGAAAGTTTTGAGTGCTGCCTTGATATTGTAGTTCACGCCTGGAGCAATGCATTCCTCATACCAGCCACTAGTTTCTGTTCCAGTCTTCCGCCCCATGTATATGAGTTGGCTCGGGATTTTGCGGAGTCAATCCATTGTGGGCGTGGAATGAAAATCCTAACACACTAGACGTAAGCCGTGTAGCTCGGAAGGAATGGGGTGGCGACTCTCCTACCAATTGTCTCCCTGGCGGCTACCCAGATAGACTTGATGAGGGATCTGCGCAACTTCATCCGCGCCGAGTTCTCCACGTACGTTCAAGTCGAAGATAAACCAGCGCTTCACCGGCTTGGCCGAGTCGAAATCCGCGGGGATGTGGACATGGTCGTATCCAGTAGGTTGGAGTGACGCACGGAATTCTCGGTTTAAGACTTCCTCGCAGAACGCACTCCCTAGAGTATTATGGCGTCGCTGTGGATTACCACCAATATCAGTAACGCAGGTAGAGATGATGACTCGCATTGGGCTCTCCATCGTGATTCGAGCCCATGAGGTTCAAAAAGCAAACGGTTCCCATTTTTTGAAGAAGCACTCTGCGCCTAGGGCCATGAAGGATGATGATTTGCACTGCCAGTACAGCGAGCCGGCCGGATTAATTCATTGACCGGTCTCGTCTCATTGTTTGTTTCACTTTACATGGATCAACGTCCTAAGATTTCCTCTTTTTAATCTCGCTCCGGGGTTCATATCCCATTTCTCTCTTTCAGCAGAATTTGATGGCGCTCTGGTGGTGTTTAAATGGCTGGATGTCAACGAGTCATGTCCATAGTTTCGTTGGTTGCAATTTGATTGGCACTAACTCTAATTAGCTTAGAAGAGCTTCAGATTTGATTGAAAAAAAAAAAAGAAAGCCCGTTGGGGGAGTTGACAGTGAAGAAAAATTGCGAGTGGACTAAAGGGGCCCTGTACGCTTCCCTTTTCGGCATGTAACGCAGTCACTAGTCTTCTTCAAGCCCTAATAAAGTCTAGATCGAGGCAAAGTAATATTGTTCCCCATTACAATGATTGGAGTAGAAGCATTATTGTGGATGCTTTCTTTTGCTTTTTACTTTATGGTTTATGATATATCAGCATTGAGCTGGCCATACTTTAAGAAACTGACACTTAGTACATACAGATCCACACGACCCGGCCGTATTCAACGGCACTACCCTATATTGTCAGCACTCTGTATCATAAATCTATAGGCATTTGTAAAAGCTACCATATCTGTCTCACAGACATAGTCGATGAAATGTACGTCATTATATACACAAATGTTGTTTCATTTAGGAATTTCAATCCCGCCATACGAAGAGATCCTCTATGTGACAATAGGGGGATAAAGATGAGCTCATGGCAACGTTCCCCTCTCGCACATGCATTGTATTAAAATAATGGCAGAACGACAAGGACCAGCTGCGAAAAGATGTTTGGCTTTTGTTGTAGTTGGATAGAATTACCTACTACAAATAACTCCCCAGAAGTTAAGATGCAGATTCGGCGGTATTTCACTCGTTCCAAAAGCCAGTCAAACTCACCGGCTAGCGATGAAGTCTCTCCGGAAAGTCGTGAGATATAAACTATCCCCAATTCCAGATTTGCAAAGTGAGGCCTCTGATACAAGACAGAAAAGACAGAACCCCCGACACCAGCGACAGGAAAGAAGAAACATGCCGTCAAAGCAAAGAATCTTGTCCGGTGTGCAGCGTGTACGGAGCCCATTGAGCGCCGTGCTACCTTGAAAGCCCTATGTCCCCACCGCTATTGCTATCCCTGCATAGCCAAAATGTTCGAATGCACCATCGACCGCAGTGACTATTTTTGGCCTCCAACATGCTGTTCCAAGGAAATCCCGCTTTGGCTCGTCTGTGCGTGCCTAAGTCAAGACACGATCAAACGCTTCAAAGACAAAATGACAGAATATAAAGATATTAATAGAACATATTGTTCCAATTCGAACTGCGCACGATATCTGGCTCCTTCTCGCTGTCGCGATCGTATCAGGGTATGCGATCACTGCCTTGAGAGAACCTGCACCTCTTGCAAAGGGTCCTCCCACCGAGGGAGATGCAACAAGGTCCATAATGATGGAACAAACGAGTTTCTTGCATTGGCGATGAAGAAGAGGTGGAGGAACTGTCCCCAATGTCTCCGTATGCTGCAACGCTACAATGGCTGCCATATTCTGAGGTAGGTGGAATCCTTTTCGGGTATTGTCTTCACCAATAAATATTAATCGTTATAAGCTGTTTCTGTGGTGCTCGCGTCTGTTATAATTGTGGCAACAAATCAATAGAGTGCACATGCAAGATGGGACGAAAAGTGCAACCACGATGGTAGGAAGCACTAGTGGGAGATGTTGTAGGCAGCCTATTCCGTTGATGTCCTTCGTCGTATTTCTAAAGTCAATTCAAATTGGTTCAATCTCCCAGGAGAGATAGTGTTCTTTGTGGACATTAGCCTGGTATGACTTATATATGCTGGCTCAGTGTATACATTCAATAAATTTGTAGGCTTTATGTACATGTCGCAATTAGAAATCCAACGGATCCACCTGTCCCAGGAAGGAATTATTACCCTCTCCACGCAGAAGTGCCTCAATATCCACTCGTCCCGAAGTCAGATACCGCTCACTCACGCCCACATTCACTCTCTGTGAGAGTAGCTGTTTCAATTCGGCGCGCATCCCCGCCAATTCACCCTTGGAAGTGCTTCCAGCTTTCCGTTCGCGCTCCTGTCGTCCACGTCCGCGTCCGCGCCCGCGCGCTGTGGCATTGTCAAACTCCTCGCTGTCATAGTCAACTCCAAGATCTTCTGCAGCCGTGCGGAGCCAGTTATCCTCGGACGAAACCTTCTCTTTAGCGATATTGGAGTCAACGATTCGAGCCGCTAGAGTGACTCGCTGTTTGACACGAGATACGACTCGACGATCTAACTCTAACGATTCGAGAGGTACCTTCTTTCTGTTGGCCATGTTCGCATGCACCTTTGCAGCGAGTCGGACCACGCCGACCATTTCGTCCGGAGAGCAGATGATGACGCTCTTCCCCGACGCTCCAGCACGCGCGGTACGGCCAGACCGGTGGACATATGCGTCCGCAGTACGAGGAGCGTGGTAATGGACTACAAAGTCAATGCCCTTGATGTCGAGTCCACGCGCAGCAACGTCGGTTGCGACAAGGATGGAGCTAGGGTCGGATGATGGAGAGGAGAACCGTTCTACGGAACGAAGTCGTGCCTTTTGGGCCATAGAAGAGTGAAGAGCAAGTGCTGGGAGTTGAAGGGTTTGTAGGAGCTGCGTTAGTCGTCGGACGGCGGATATGGAATTCGTGAAAACCAAAGTGCGGTGTTTAGGGTGGTAGAGCAGAAGGGTGTAAAGGAAAAGGTCCTGCATAAATCGTTAGGCGGAATATAAGGATGCACTTGGTTTGAAAACGTACCTTTTCCATAGCAGCGCACTCCACAATACCCTCCTTAAGGTTCTCTGCCATCTGCGAAACTGGGTTCACATCAATAAATCTAGGCTTCTCCTCGCGGAAATTAAGCTTCTGAAGAAGGTACTCCATTGACTCCTTTTGGCTCATGATATCACCACCTGTCCACTTGCCTTTGCCCGCCAACTTCTGCTGAAGGTCACGGTGGAACGTAGCCGAGAAAACCAGGGTCTGTCTCCCAGACTTGGGGTCTGATTCATCGTCAGATTCGTCGCTCGACTCATCTGGAAACTCTCCTTCCACAACGCGGTCAAGAGCTGCCAAAATCTCGTGAGCTTCCTTGAAGTGTCCTTCACTCAGAAGTCTATCGGCCTCATCAATAACAAGGAATTTTATCGCCTGCATCTTGCGAATCAGACCATGTCCAGAGCTGAGGACCTCCCACACTCGACCAGGTGTACCGATTACGATATCTGCGTTGGCAAGGACTCTCTGTTGCTTTTGCACTGACAAACCACCGGTTAAAAGCGCAATTCGAGCATTGACGCCCGGGGAATGGCTGACCACCTCCCCAATATGCTTCGCGAGCTGATGCGCCAGCTCTCTAGTGGGCGATAGAACAAGGGCGATCGGTGTGGTCTCAGATTTTTCTGAATCCTTTTGAGTTTTACTCCGCAACTTTTCCAGATAGTACTCTAGAATGGGGATTCCGAAAGCGAGCGTTTTTCCTGAACCTGTTGAGGCCTTTCCAATGACATCACGACCATCCAAGATGGGAGGAATGCAGGCCTTTTGAACAGACGTTGGCGTGGTGAACTTCATCTTCGAGATTCCAGTGAGGATTTCGGGAGAGAGCCCAAGGGACTCCCACGCGGAGACGTCTGCTCCGTCGTCTTCTTCATCCTGAAGGGCTGCAAACGAGAGCCCGGATTGAATACCCTTGTCTTCCTTACTTTCAGGAGCTTTTTCCTTTTGTTCTTTCTTCGCGTCCTTTGCATTTTTCTTCTTCTCCTTCTTCGCATTCTTGTTCTCTTTCACCTTCGCCTTCTTATCGGACTCGTTGGGTTCGTCTTGGGTCTCCTTCGATTCCTCCTGGGACACAGCCTGATCGTCATCGCCGAAACCTTCCCATTCATCATCGGACTGAGTATTCGTTTCCTCCGGCTCTGTCTTCTTCAAGATTGACTTTTTCGGTTTTCCAGTCTTTGCCTAATGGGTGTCACTAGAGAACGCTCAAAACCGCGGCGCAGAGAACTTACCTTGAATTTGATCTGACCATTCCCTTCGGACCGGATAATATCAACACCCTCAATTTCCTCCAACCCGAAAAATCCACCAGCATCTTCAAGACGATCCGGCAGAGCTACCTCCTTCCAGTTGAGCTCATCCATTCCGACAATGCCATCCCAGTCACTATCCTCCCCGGTCGCATTGCTAGGCTTCGCGCTCTTCTTCCTTTTCTTCGCAAAGGATCCCGGACCCTTTTGGTCCCGCTGCCGTTTCTGACCCATGTCCAGGACCTATAAACAATTATGAGGATATATGTTGTTTCTGGTTGATCTGAAAGAATTATTTTTCGGCGCCGAGAAGGTAAAAAGAGCGGCAGAAAAAAGCCCTCCGCTCGCCGCCTTAAAGAGTCAATCTTATCGGCACGCCCGCCTCTGCCCCACGGAGAAATTCATTGAAAATCACTCTTTTTTACCTACCCATTGGTATAGTTTCAGCCGTCGCGCAGACACCGCGAAGATGGGTAAATCCTCCAAGGACAAGCGCGATGCGTACTACCGACTGGCCAAGGAACAAAATTGGCGTGCGCGCTCAGCGTTCAAGCTAATCCAGATCGATGAGCAATTTGATCTATTCGAGCACGAGAACCCGGAGAAAGTTACACGAGTTGTGGATCTCTGCGCAGCGCCGGGTAGCTGGAGTCAGGTGTTGAGCCGGGTGTTAATTAAGGGCGAGAGCTTCGGACGTAGGGCGTGGGTGGAGAAGAAAGGCAAGGAAGCGGTCGCGCTGGCGAGTGCGAACGGTGATGCGACGGACAACGGAGTGGATGGA